CTCTTGAGAAAGGAGCATGATTACTTTGGACCCATTTGGATAATCCAGAATAATCTCCACATCTCAAGATTCTTGTCCTTAATCACATCTACAATGTCCTTTTTTTTGGACAGGGTACAGGGATGAGGGAATTGACATTCTTTGGAGGCTGTTATTGTGCCTACCACAGGGCTCCCTCTTTCTTGCTGCTGGCATTAGGATGGAGGCCAGGTGGTATAGCTTCAGGTGTATGGTACCTGATTACATCTGAATCTGAAATTCATTCTGAGGCATGTGCTCTCTCTCCACCTTCAGGTTTTATGTGAGGCTTACTTGAGACTGGGGATGGATGTAGGCCTCACTCTTATCTCTGAAAATGGGATAAGGTGCTCCTATATTCTGTGGACAAGAACAGTCTATTTACATGAATAGGAAGCTCAGATATTACTTGAAAAAATGTATTAGTTGAATTATTGGAATAGTGTTTTTCCACTAAGAGAACTGTATAGTTTAGTTTTTGTTTATTTAATGAGGTTTAATGAGTATCTCACATCTGGACGTTCAGCTGGCTAGAGTTGTAGTGTCAGTTGATGTTTGTCTTGAGCCAGAATCCTGTCTGGCTCCAAGAGGTCTGGTTCATAAAACCATATCTGATTCTTATTCTTACAAGTCAATTTTCAAATTTAAATTGATTGTAGAGATAGCTGTAAAACTAAGAATGTATTTTATTTTGCCAATATTTTATATGGGTTGTAGAGGTGGCTAATACATTTAGTATTGAATAAATTGAGAATTACTGTTTAATTTCATTTTTTCCTCGTATATTAAACAACTAATCTAAAAAGTATTAAATAATTGGGCCTTTCTTTGCAAGTTAAAATAGTTCTACTCTTAGAAATAATTATCTTTTCAGTTAAACAAATTCAGTAATCTGCAAAAGCAAGTTAGAGTTTTTCATAAATGGTAATAAATGTTAAGGATTGTTGCTTGGGTTTTGTATTATACTGGTCAGTTAAATTTCAGCACTACTTTTAATTAATGTTAATAGATCCATCAGTTCCCAAAATACCTGTGGTAACAGAATTAACAAACCTAAATTCCAAAGTAGGTCAGTGGGTCAGTGGGTTGTTAGGTTAGGGGGAAAATGTAGTTTTAATTTTTAAAATTCAAGTTCCTGAGTTAGCCATTTTTAATTAATAATTTTAAAATTATCATTAACTAGATGAAACTTTTTTTCTTTAAATGAATAGAACATGGGAAAATAGTCTCTGTTACTTATGTTTTTCTTGTCTGGAATAGCTAACAGGTTGTGTTTTATCTTATTAGCCTCCTCATGTATAGCTAGGCCTCTAGTATTGGACAATTAAAAGAAAAAGAAAAAATACAGCACTTAAGTTTTCTGATTTTAAAAGTAATGCATGTTCCTGGGAGAGATTTTAGAAAGTACTAAAGAAAGTAAAAAAACACCATCCGTAAGTAATTACCTAGGAGCAACCACAGTTTTATATGTTCAGGTTTATGTCTGATATATATTCATGTCACTGTCACTGCGGTTAGACATTTAAATCTGTTCTAGCTTTACTATTTTTATTTTTTTGACACAGAATCTAGCTCTGTCTCCCAGGCTGGAGTACAGTGGCGCGATCTTGGCCCACTATAACCTCCGCCTCCTGGGTTCAAGTGATTCTCCTGCCTCAGCCTCCCAAGTAACTGGGATTACAGACTTGTGCCCCCATGCCTGGCTAATTTTTGTATTTGTAGTAGAGATGGAGTTTCACCATATTTGCCAGACTGGTCTTGAACTCCTGACCTCAAGTGATCCATCCACCTCAGCCTCCCAAAGTGCTAGGATTACAGGCATGAGCCACTGCACCTGGCCTAGCTTTACTATTTTTAATAATATCTCAATTAATATAAAAGTTTAGGTACATCTTTGATTATTTTCTTATTTCTCAAAGTGAAATTACTGGGTCAAAGGGCATAATTTTCAAACTATTTATAAATCTCACCAATTTATTCTTTAAGAAAGGGAAATTCCTCCTTTTCCTAGTTTGTAAATTCCTTCTATTCCTAGTTTGTTGAATGTTGTTTTTTTTAAAATCATGAATAGATGTTGAATTTTGTTAAATGCTTTTTATACATCAATTGAGATCCCTCATACATATGATTTTTATCCTTTATTTTGTTAATGTAGTGCATCCCATTGATTGGTTTTATTAATATGTGTTGAACCTTGCTCAAATCTCAGGGATAAATGCCAATTGAGTCATGTTGTATAACCCTTTTAATTTACTGCTGCATTTGGATTACTAGTATTTTGTTGAGAATTTTTCATCAGTATTCATAAGGGATATTGGCCTGTAGTTTTTTTCTTATGTTGTCCTTGGATTTCATATCAGCATATTGCTGGCCTCATAGAGTTTGGAAGTGTTCCCTTTTCAGTTTGTTGGAAGCATTTGAGGGGGATTGGTATTAAATCTTCTTTCACTGTTTGGTAGAATTCTTCAGTGAAGCCATGTATATTGTCCTGGGCTTTTCTTTGTTGGGAAGTTTTTGATTCAATATACTTAAAAGTTATACATGTCTTCACATTTTTATTTTATCATTCTGACTTTTATTATCACTGATGAATTTGTCTGTTCTTTAAAAAAACTATGTACTCTCTTGTAGAGTCAACTATGCTGTTGCATGTAGTCTTCTCTTTGTTGTATAGCATTCCAATATAAGAATAACACATTTTGTTTATCCATTGTACTGTCAGTGAACATCTTGGTTGTTTCTACTTTTGGACCATTATATATAAAGCTGCTGTGAACTCTGCTCAGATTTTCTATTCATGATTCAGTCTTGGTGGTAGATGGTATATTTCTAGGCATTTATTCATTTTTTCTAGGTTATCCAATTTGTTGGTGTATATTTATTGAGTTTTATAATACTTTTTATTTCTATGACATCAGTTGTAATTTCTCTTTCATTTCTGATTTGAGTCATCTCTTATTCTTAGTGTAGCTAAAGGTTTGTCAGTTTTGTTCGTCTTTTCAAATAAACAACTGTTAGTTTTGTTGATTTTTTTTCTTTTCTTGTCTTTTTTTTTCTATTCACTGTTTTATTTCTATTCCATCATACTTCCTTCTGCTCACAATGGGCTTTCTTTGTTTTCTTTTTCTAGTTCTTTGAGGTATAAAGTTAGGTTGTTTGAGATCTTTTTTTTTTAAATTTTCTTTTTTTTAGGCACACCTCTGCTGGCAGGAATCTTTCTTCATTTTTAATGTAAGCATTGACTGAAATAAGATTTCCTGTTGGAACATGTTTGCTGCATCCCATAAATTTTGGTATTTTGTATTTTCTTTTGTCTCAAGATGTTTTTTGATTTCTCTTTTGATGTCTTCCTTGACTCCTGGTTGTTCAAATGTGTGTTTAAATTTCTTCTGCTTATGAATTTTCTAGTTTTCCTTCTGATACTGATTTCTATTTTCATTTCACTGTGATCAGAGAAGACACTTAGTATAATTCAATCTTAAATTTTTTAAAACTTGTCCTGTGACCTAGTAGGTGATCCATCCTATAGAACCTTCTCTGTGTAGTTGAGAATAATGTGTATTCTGCTGTTGTTGGGTGGAATGTTATGTGTTTCTGTGTTTGGTTCATTTGGTCTATACAGTTGGCCTTCTGTATTTGCAGGTTCCACATCGGTGGATTCAGCCAACTGTGGATAAAAATATTCAGAGAATAAAACCATTTACAAATAGTATAAATTTAAAAACCAATAAAATATAACACCTACTTTACATAGCATTTATATTGTATTATGCATTATAAGTAATCTAGAGATGATTTAAAGTATAGGGGAAGAGACACATAGGTTATATGCAGTTGCCACATTATTTTATGTAAGGGACTTAAGCATCTGCAGATCTTGGTATTAACATTATTTGATAGGGGTTCCTGGAATCAGTCCCTCTTAGATACCGAAGGATGACTCTACTCTTAACACTGTTTAAGTCCATGCTTTCCTTCTTGATTTCTCTTTCATAATCTGTCCATTATTGAAAGTGGGGTATTGATATCTCGTGCAACTATTGTATTTGCTATTTCTCCCTTCAGTTCTGTTGATGTTTGCTTAATATATTTGGGTCCTCTGATGTTGGGTACATATATATTAATAATTGCTATATGTTCCTAATGAATTAACTCTTATTACTATATAATGTCCTTCTTTGTCTCTTATATTTAACTTAACATCTTTTTTATCTAAGTATGGTCACTCATACTCTTTAGGCTCACATTTGCATGGGATCTATTTTTCCATTCTTTCACTTTCAGCTTCTGTTCTTAAACATGAGGTGAATCTTGTAGACAACATGTAGTTGGATCTTTTTTTTTCAATCCGTTCAGCCACTCTATGTATTTTGATTGGGGAGTTTAATCCATTTATGTTTAAAGTAGTTACTGACAGAGAAGGACTTGCTTTCTGTCTGTCTTGTAGTGCTGTTGTCCCTCTTTTCCTTTCCTCCTGTTTTTCTCTATATTTCATTAACTTTTTTTTTTTTTTTTGGTAGTTGTGCTTTGCTTCCCTCCACATTTTCTTATGTGAATCCTCACATATGATTGCCATGGGGCTTATATGTAAAACACCTTATAGTTATAACAGTCTATCTTAAGCTTACAATAATCTAACTTCAATTGCATATAAAAATTCTACTCTCTTACTCCCCCCTTGTTATTGATGTCACAGTTTTATCCTTTTATATTGTATACTCATTAACATTTTTATAGTTACAGTTTTTTTAATACTTTAATCTTTTAACTTCTGTGCCAGAAGTAAGTGATTGTTTTAGTTTATTCATGATGTTTTAAGTTACTTTGTTTTCTTTTAGAAACAATGTATAGAATTTAAAATTGGTTATATACATTTTTGTGACAGACTTCTCAATTTTAAGTTTAAAAATTATTTAAAAACCCTTTTAATGATAAACTTCTATTTAAGTTGAATAAATCTAACTTTTTTTTTGTTTAAACAGAATTCTGAAACTTAACGGTTGATCATATAGAAGAGTACCTTGAACCTATAGTTTCCTGAAGAATCAGTTTAAAAAATCCAAAGAGTACAAAAGGTAAAGAAAGTTGCATCTTACAATGCATCATAAAATGATATTTTTTCCAGAAAAATGAAAGAATCGATCAACTATTTTGACATACTAATTTAAGGAAAGTTTACTTTAAAAATTTGTGTGTACGTGTGTTATCACCAAACATAGTACCAGTTGTGTTCCGATAATTACTTTAGATACTGGGGATTCAGTGATGAACAAGACAGAAGCTGTCTCTGTTCTCATGAGGACTGCCTTCTAGAGGAAGAGAAATAATACACAAATGAGAAATTTGTGGTTTGTACTGCACTGAGAATTAAAATGGATAGTGTAAGGCTGCGCACAGTGGCTTGTGCCTGTAATCCTAGCAGTTTGGGAGGCTGAGGTGGAAGGATTGCTTGAGCCTAGAAGTTTGATACTAGCCTAGGCAACATAGTGAGACCTCCCCTCAACACCACCAAAAATTTAGAAATTAGCTGGGCATGATGATGTATGCCTGTGATCCCAGCTATGTAGGAGGCTGAGGCAGGAGGACCACTTGAGCCTAGGAAGTTGAGGCTACAGTGAGCTGTGATTGTGCCACTGTGCTTCCACCTGGGTGGCAGAGTGAAACCCTGTCTTACACATACAAAAAAGAGATAATGTGTTAGAGACTGGTGACTGCTTTCATTAAGCAGTCAGAGATAGCCTCATTGAAAAGGGAGAATTTTAGTTGAGATCTGAATGGCAGAAGGAGCCTGCTGTGTGAAGATCTGAGAGGAGAGCTTTATAGGCAGTGAGAATAAGAATGAGAAGGAAATGTTTGAGGAACTTAAAAAGCAGAATTGACTGGAATATAGTAAGTGATGGGGAGAGTATATGGAGTTCAGGTTGGGAAAAAAACTGGGAGAGAAGCAAATTTACAGAAGAAAGTCAAATGTTCTGTTTTAAGTAAATGGCATTTTGGACACCTTTAAAATCTGTAGAAATGTCTAAAAAGCAGTTGGATATCTGACTGCATTTGACAATCTATTCTAGGAGTGTGGATTTGGGAGTCATTGGCATATAGAAGTGTGATTTATCTAGGAAGTGTATACAGATTGAGAAGAATTCAGCCCTGGCACATGCCAGTATTAATTAGAGGAGAAGGAGCAGCCAGCAAGATGAGTAGAAAAGCAGGAGAATATTCTGTCACAGGAACCAAGAAAAGAAAGTATTTAATAAATGCAGAAGTGGTCATCTATATCACATATTACTTAGAGGTCAAATAGAGAATAAAATGACCATTAGACTTGGCAGTATGGAGATTTCAGATAACTAATAAGAGTGAGCAATTTGGAGTGGTGGGGATGAAAGCCTAATTAAGAGTGATGAAGAGAGAATATGAGGAACTGCTAGTTAGAGATGGCAAATAATACAATTGAATTTTATTTTCTCTTGAAACTTCACTGAAGCTAAAGCAAAAGGATTTTTACAAAAGACATAACTTCACAAGGACAGAGAATGGAGAAGAAACAGTAGCAACAAAATTTGGGACTGAAAAGCAAGAGAGAGCATAGTAAGTTTTTGCAGATCCCAGGATCCTAAGCCCACTGTGGGAAAGCTGATAAACAAACTTGTTGGCACTATAGAACCTCCACAATTTTCATGAATTGAAAACACTCTTTATTTCTGGAAATAGGAGTTATGGTGGAACTAAAAAAGGATGATTTGTTGCAAATCTTTTTAAGGGGTGATTATATTCCATGGATCCTTTCTAAACTTTGAAACCAAGGCAGCTGCCTTTTCCCATCTTAGCAGAAGTCTGGGGATTTGTTCCCTAGTAAGTACAAAAGTAAGGAGCAACAAACATGCTGAGAATGGGAGTAACATGTTTAAAAACAGAAGGGTTAAGAACCAGGCTACCAGGTTTTTATATTGTTCAGGCAGTTGAGAAGATACATAATTCTTTTCTCTGAATTATAGTCATCTTAAAAGAAGAGATCTAAAGATTCTGACATTGAGAATTTTCCAAAGAAATATTTCTACTTGATAACTCTATAATAAAGAACAGTCAGCAAGCTGTGTCACACAGAGCTTCCAGTTTTTTTAGTGCTTACCCTTAAATATGAGCTCATGTTCAGAGATCAGTAGACATCTGAGGAAAAACCTCTTATCTGCAAGACAAAGGCCAAACCAAAAGATAAAACACCAATTTAGGGGAAATGAAGAGCAGTTAGGCAGGTGAAAATCAAACACAAACCTTAGATAAAGGTAAGAGGGATGCTGAATCCATGAAACATGAATGAGAAACTATAAGAAATGAAATTAGAAATGAGGCCGGGCTCAGTGGCTCACACCTGTAATCCCAGCACTTTGGAAAGCCGAGGTGGGTGGATCACCTGAGGTCAGGAGTTCAAGACCAGCCGAGGTGGGTGGATCACCTGAGGTCAGGAGTTCAAGACCAAACCTCATCTCTACTAAAAATACAAAAATTAGCTGAGCACAATGGCATGTGCCTGTAAACCCAGCTACTCAAGGAGGCTGAGGCAGGAGAATTGCTTTGAGCCAGGGAGGCAGAGGTTGCCGTGAGATTGCACCGTTGTACTCCAGTCTGAGTGAAAGAGCAAGACTTCATCTCAAAAAAAAAAAAAAAAAAAAAAAAAGAGGCCAGGCGCGGTGGCTCAAGCCTGTAAAGCCGAGGTGGGTGGATCACGAGGTCCAGAGATCGAGACCATCCTGGTCAACATGGTGAAACCCCGTCTCTACTAAAAATATAAAAAAAATTAGCTGGGCATGGTGGCGTGTGCCTGTAATCCCAGCTACTCGGGAGGCTGAGGCAGGAGAATTGCCTGAACCCAGGAGGCAGAGGTTGCGGTGAGCCGAGATCGCGTGCCATTGCACTCCAGCCTGGGTAACAAGAGCAAAACTCCGTCTCAAAAAAAAAAAGAAATTAGAAATGAAAAGCTTATTTGAAGGGTTGAAAAATAAAATGATCGACTGAAAGTAGAGCAAAGAGATGTAAAATGGTAGAGAAAAAAGAAGAAAATTACCTGTCCAGATCTCCAGTGTTCAATTAAGTGCTCCAGAAGGTGAGAGTGGAAATAGAGGGGAAAAAACAAAGAATAGAGAACAACTCAACAAGACTCTCCAGAATTAGAGGACATGAGTCTCTAGTTGGGAAAAGTCTGTTGAGTGACCAATACAGATATAAAAACAAGCCAAACAGGGCACATCACTATTCAGTTTTAGAAAACAAGGGAGCTTCCAGAGTGAAATAAGTAACAGGTCACATCTAAAGGATTAGTAATCAGAATGGCTTTGCACTTTTTGTTATCACACTGGAAACTAGAATATAGTGGAACCTTCAGCATTCATAGGGAAAAGTGATTTTCAACCAGGTATTCAGTATCCAGCTAAACTATTGATTAAGAATAGTCTAATGACAGTTTTTGACTTATGAAGTCTTAAAAAATTTGCCTGTCATGTCCTCTTTCTTAGGCAGTTATTGAAGGAATTACTCAACAAAAATAAAGAAGTAAACTAAAAACGATGAAGGCATAGGATATGAGTAACAGGGAATATGACCTAACTAGAGACCCAGGGAATCACCAGGATGATGAGAATAATGATCACAAGACAGCTGGTCATCGGGTTAGTAGATAGTTTCTAGTCCCAATAGGAACAGGTTGGAAGATTTCAAGAGAAATCACCGTGAGAAGGTGAAATTGGTAGAATGTGTAATGAGTTTGAAGAAATAGTAGATATAGACAGGGAAGAATTTATAACTAAGTTGGTAATAAGTATAAACAAAAGTAGGTAAACAAAAAAATGGTAACTCTAGGAAAAACTGCTGAAAAGGAAAAGTAATTGTTGTATACTGTATGGCCCAGCTATGAATTGGCATTTACAGAGTCATAATAATGTTAAATCCAAATATAACCACCTAACCAAAATTATGATATTGGGAAATTGGGGAAGTGTGCATATGTATGAATAAAATAGTAACATGATGCATGCTGAGCTGGGAAGTCATATCACCAGATGACTCTGATCTCAAGTTGCTTAAGTAAAGGAGCATTTGATTCTTAGCTGTAACTTTGTCCTTTATAATTGGGGAACTTTATTTTCTGAATTTTTTATTTTAATTTTTGTGGGTGCCTAGTAAGTATATATATTTATGGGGTACATGAGATGTTTTGATATAGGTATGCAATATGTAATAATCGCATCATGTAAAATGGGATATCCATCTCTTCAAGCATTTATCCTTTGTGTTATAAACAATCCAGTTATACTTATTTTAAATACAACTGTGAATTTTGGATTCTAGTAACTACAACTGATCCTTTTAAAGACATATTATTGCATATCATTGTGGCCTAATCATGGCAAAGTTAAAAAATAATGAAATGTATTCTATATTATATTATATGTGTGACATTCCACTTCAGCTTGTGTAGGGATGTGGCATGGCATCTGTATCCTCAGACTCCACAGCATGGACAAGTGTGAGTCTAGCTAGTCTTTCTGAATTGAAAGCATGGGACCTGCAGTAGTCTCCAAACAAAATATTTTGACTTTTCCACCTTACCACTTTGTCTTGTTAAAGTTAATTTGATACCATTTTTAAAAGTTTAAGGGAATCTTCTTACATTTGCTCTAGGGTGCATGTCTGGCCTATTTTACTTATTCCTTTCCCTTTCCCTTAAGTAAAGTGTATCTGTCAACTGACTGGAAAGATGAGGATCTTGTGTTAGACTGTTAAGCAATGTATCTGACTGGGCACAGTGACTCATGCCTGTAATCCCAGCACTTTCGGAGGCCAAGGTGGGTAGATCACTTGAGGTTTGGAGTTCGAGACCAGCCTGACCAATATCGTGAAACACCATCTCTATAAAAATACAAAAATTAGCTGGCCTGTCAGGAAGAATCACTTGAACCTGGGAGTTGGAGGTTGCATTGTGCTGAGATCAAGCCACTGCACTCCAGTCTGGGCCACAGAGGGAGACCCCATCTCAAAAAAAGGAGAGAGAGAGAGAGGTTACGTTGTTCTATTAGCTGGACAACAAGTAATTTGTAGAAGAATATTGTTAACAACAATAGCGAAACAGCCTAATAAAGCATCAGCCTGTATCTTCTAAACTATATTGGATTCACCCTTCTTGTAGTCAGCAAGGCTCTTCCTGTAGTATAATCCTTCATTCTTGGTGTTCCCCAGCCCCTCCTTACCACCACTTTTTTTTGGTAGTTTGTCTTATTTTCTACCTTTTGATAATTAAGCCACACTGATGGCTTACTGGGGGCTTTATAAGGCTCAGATCTGGCCTTTTAAAACTTTTTCCTATTAAAAATTCTTTTTGAATTCACTGAAATTTGCTCTGTTAGTTTTATACTGTTCTTCTTGTTCTAGTGATAGAACCAGCCTTTGTTTTTACCATGAAGATAAATATGTCTCTTGGACCAGAAGGCTATACTTAGGTGGCCTTTAAATTTTCTTCTACCTCTAAAATTCTGTAATTCTATGCTCTATCTGGTGATACTACCACAGACACTTAAAATCATAACATTTCATCCTGGTGTTAGTCCTTTTTATTTTATTTTTTCTGTCTTTGACCCTGGCATTCATTTTCTTTTAAAAACTCTTAGCCCTGACTATGGTAGCGAGCACCTGTAATCCCAGCTACTCAGGAGGCTAAAGTGGCAGGATTGCTTGAGCGCAGGATTTCAAAGCAGCAGTGAGCTGTGATCACGCCACTGCACTTCAGCATGGGCAACAGAGGGAGACCCCCATCTCAAAAACAAAAAGAAAAAAAAATTCTGAGCCCCTCACAGTTCTACTTCTGCAGACTAAACCACATAGGCAATGCAGCAATGTTACCAAGGGTAATTCTCCCTTCTTAGGAAGGTTCATTTGAAAACAGTGACTGAATGTTTTAGAATCTCATCTTCTTGTAATATCTTTAAAGAACTTTTTAAATATCTTTCTGGTTTAGAAATGCTCCAGTGAACATTTTGTTTGAATTGTTATGTTGATGCTCAAAAGCTTTCAGATTTTGGAACATTTTGGATTTCAGGTTTTCAGATTAGGGATACTCAACTGGTAGAATATAGAGAGACAAATTTTAGGCTTGTGATCCAGCTTTGAAGCAGTAAGTTTTACTGCCTTCAATTTGGGTATGAGTCTTTATAGTAAGGCTTTCCGGTACTTGACTTACCTTTGCCATTTTACCACTTGTATTCTCATTTTATGCGCTAGTAATTAAAACTTTAAATTGTACCATGTCAGGTTTTCCATAAGGAAAATGCTAAACCTCTTAGTTTTTCAAGTTCAGTATTCTCTTCTCTCACTGCCATTCCTGTCTCTTAGAATTCTTTCACTTATTACCTGTTTCTGTCCTCCAGCCTGTTGCTTCTCAAACTTAAATGGTCATACATTATCACGTGGAGCCCTTGTAAAAATGCAGATTTTGGTTCATTAATACTAGGGTAGGGCCCAAGATTTTGTCTTTGAAAACAGGCTCTCAGAGGATGCTGATACTGCCCAACCCTACACCATATTTGCAGTAAAAAAAATCTTGACTCCCTAACAGACTTACTGTCATCAGGAATATTTCCTCTGTTTTCCCCCTCTAATTTCCACAGGTACGCATAATTGTTCCTTGCCTGGTGATAGCATTACACAGTATATACCTTCTTTATGCCTCTTACTATAATTATTTAGGTATCTATCTTCTTGCTCAATTGTAAATTTTTTCTACAAGGACTGTATCTTTCACTGTAATATACCCAAAGCCTGCTGCACTATTTAGCAGAAAACAGGTTTTCAGCAAATATTTATTGCTGAATAGATGGTGTTATTGCAGACTATTTGAAGTTATATAATTAAATATATACTGAATATTGAGAATGTCCATTTTATTTTTATTATTTGATAGTAAAGAGAAAGTTAATATGAACCCGAATTACTTTTTTTCTTGTAGTTCTTTTTTAGGAAGGAAAAAAAGCCTCAGATGTACTTCAGCCATAGGTATTTGCTTGAAAATAGTGTTCTAGTCTTCAGTACAGATAAAATGTTTTGAAGTCTGTGTAATTACATATAGTATTTCTCAAGATAACTTTGTGGAAGTAAGATTTTTAGAAAACTAATGACCGTTTTTTCTTTTTTTCACCTAAGGAGAAGTACAAATGTCTACCACAAGACGAAAACGTAGTATGTTATGTTGTTTACCGTAAGCTGTGGTAAAATGAGCTCGATTGTTGACAGGTATGTTCTTGAAGACTGTTATTTTAAATTATATATAGTTATTTAAAATGAACTATCAGAATAATGGTCTATGTGAAATTGATAGAAGGAGTTTTATGCTTAAACATAATTATTATTACATTCGGTTTCTGTGTTAAATAAATACAGTGTAAAAATAAGCAAGATCTTATCAGTATTTTCTAGAGCCAAAGTCAGCAGCATATGGCTTGTGTTTTAAAAGAGTACTGAGCTGTAATTTTGGGTGATTTGGTCATAGCTGCTCTGAAGGAAATTCTGACAGTTGCAAATGTTTCCTTGGAACCTTGTAGAGTCCTTTTTCTCCTTATCTAACTTTATCCCTTCAAACATCTTTGCATTTGTGACTGATAAGAGGTAACTGCAATTAAGATTTCATTAGTTAAAATTGTAATCTTTACATCTTACTCTTGGGAAAAGGGTAAATCTCCATATTCTTATGATTTTAATACTTGAAATTTTTGGAGGAGGGTGGAAGGGGGCAGCGAAGGTTAAAAACTATTGGGTACTGTGCTTGCTACTTGGGTGCTGAGATCATTGGTACACCAAACCTCAGTGACACGCAATCTGCCCGCGTGAAAAACTGCACATATACCCCTGAACCTAAAGTAAAAGTAGAAAAGAAAAGACTTTAAGTTGTCTTTATTTTTCACATTTTAGCATCTCTTATCATAATTTAATTGGTAGCACTCTTTCTTTCTTAAGGGCAGGTAAAATAGTGATGGTCTTAACAGTCAATAATATCTTAAATTTGATAGAATCCAATAACATTTTTAAAGCATCTCATCTGCTCTGACAGCAGATGTACAGAATACCTTTTTATATGCTATTTCATTTAACCTTAACAAATCTGTAAAATTTTACAGATGAGAAAACTGTAGGTCAGAAGGTTAAGTAACTTGTTTGAAGTCACATAGCTAGTAAGATTTGATCTAGAATTTTTACTTGTGTTGGTATGTCTGGCATTAAATTTGCTATACTATTATTGCACTGTACTGTGTGCTCCATCCATTGGAGATTCTTTAAGAGTTTTGCAGCTAGACTTGTACACAGAAGTGACTTTTCACATCTGGGGTCAGCTTTCTCCCTTTCTATGAGCTAAATAGTAAATATATATACCCCACCAGAACTTAAGATCTGAGGAGCAAGAAACTTCCTTAGAGAGGGCTGCCTGCACCATGGTCATAGCTTTGAATTGTGCCATAGTTGCAGGCAGGATTAATGATAGTCTTTTTCTCAGAAAAGATATTTCTTCACTGCCTCTGAGGGAGAAAATACAAATTTGGCATTATGCCTTTCCCATTCTAGATAGTATGACATCTAGGGATGACATCTGTGTTTTCAGACATAAAGCAGTGATTATTAATATGAGTTCCTTATCTCTGAAAATCATGAAAGTTATGAACTCTGTCCTCAGAAAAATACATATAAATACAAAATTTTTTGTAAACTTTGGGGCGTACATGGAATCCCCAAAGTTTATACATGGACCTCCATGATACAGGTGTTAAAGATGATCCCAATAGTTACCCCATTTTATAGCTTATAGGCCATAGAAAGGTGTGACTATAGGAGTGAATAGTGAATTCATATAAAACTTCATAAATCAGGAAAAACTTTAATATTGCTCTTAGGGTTGAGTTAGCTACCAGTGCTCTTGATTTCATTTTTTAGAAATGGTCTTTCCTTACATTTACCCATAGCCAGCTCCTAGCTCACATGTCCCCTCCTTAATAAATCCTTCCCTAACCACTCAGACTCTAGTAACTAAAACATCACGCCTTAAAAAAAAATTAAAACTTATCACCCATTTTTATACTTATTTCTTTCTACTAGGAAATAAGGCTGGATATGGCGGCTCATGCCTGTAATGCCAACACTTTGGGAGGATGAGGTGGGAATGTCACTTGAGCCCAGGAGTTTGAGATCAGCTTGGTCAATATAACAAGACCCTTGTCTCTACAAAAAATAAAAAAACTAGCTGGGTATGGTGGTGTGTACCTGTGGTCCCAGCTACTCAGGAGACTGAGGCAAGAGGACTGCTTGAGCCCCGAGGTTGAGGCTGCAGTGAGCCATGTTTGTGCAACTGCACTCCAGATTGGGCAACAGAGTGAAACCCTGTCTCCAGAAAAAAATGAAAAAGAAAAGAAAAGCTGTAGGAAAGCAGCTGAATGTCTTGTTCATTGCTTATTAAACACATCCAGAACAGAGCCTGGCACATGAGTGCTAATACATATTTGTGAAATGAATTAGTAAATTAATGAAATGTATTAATATAAGTTAATGCATTAGATATTGTGATGTTTGTGAGTAATTTGTGGTTTTATAAAGTAAATATCTCAAAAAAATTATGCTGTTAACAAAAATAATTTTATATAATGGCAAACACTGACTTTCTTCAAGTTTTTACTGATTACTAAAAGTTTGAAAAAAGATATTTAAACTGGTTAAATTCTTGTTTAGCATGATGCGTTCATAATATAGCCAAGTATAAATATTTTTACAGTTTATATATGTAATAAACTTTTAAAAATATTAGCTATTACTGAATTTTGATTTTCTAATGTTTATTAGGAAATAGGGTAGTTCGAATTTTATAATCCATTTACAAAAATCCTAGGGTGTATAACTGAGTTTATTTACATGTCATTTTAGTATTGCTGTTGCTTAGTGAGTCTGCTCTTATTTTCTCTGTCTGCTTTCTTTTAGAGATGACAGTAGTATTTTTGATGGGTTGGTGGAAGAAGATGACAAGGACAAAGCAAAAAGGTACTTTGATTAGAGGTGTAAAATAGTAAATAAATGAATAATAGGTAAATGTAATGGTAAATAAATTATAAATTAATGATTTCCAAAAGCTATCTGCTTTTGGAGTTTAGATATATTAGCAAGGTAGAAGGATTTGGAATATTGACATGTAGTTTATAAATTAAATACCTTCTGGCCTTTTGGAAAAGTATTGTGCTTTGCTTAAACAGAAATTGAATTAGAAAATCTGATTTCCCAAAGCAGATAATTACAGGTATCATAAAATAATTGTTTTATAAATAATCAAGTTTATTTGTCTCAATAGCTCTTTGTTTACTGGTTACTGCTTCACATAGAATAGCAGTCATTATTCATTTAGTACATATATTTATAATAACCATATAAGCTAACAATCATTGGTAAGTATTGGATTAAATAAAACCTGTGATTTGAATGCAGTTTATCTTACTGACATTTTCATGTAAACATGTATGTAAAATGCATGATTTGTAAAATTTTCTTTCTTTTTTTTTTGAGACGGAGTTTCGCTCTTGTTACCCAGGCTGGAGTGCAGTGGCATGATCTCAGCTCACGGTAACCTCCGCCTCCTGGGTTCAGGCAATTCTCCTGCCTCAGCCTCCTGAATAGCTGGGATTACAGGCACGTGCCACCATGCCCAGCTAATTTTTGGTATTTTAGTAGAGGCGGGGTTTCACCATGTTGACCAGGATGGTCTCGATCTGTTGACCTCGTGATCCACCCACTTCGGTCTCCCAAAGTGCTGGAATTACAGGCTTGAGCCACTGCGCCCGGCCTGTAAAATTTTCTTTAGTGACAAACTGAGCTGAAAAATTATTGCCTAAATTAACTGTGTATTGTTGGTAACCTACTGTTACCATCTATGTTGATAGAAGTACATGCTGTGTTATGTCTAAATTAATATTGTATTAACTACTTGTGTTATTAAATGGATTATTTTTAAAAATGCATATTTTTCATTTCATCAGAGTATCTAGAAACAAATCTGAAAAGAAACGTAGAGATCAATTTAATGTTCTCATTAAAGAACTGGGATCCATGCTTCCTGGTAATGCTAGAAAGATGGACAAATCTACTGTTCTGCAGAAAAGCATTGATTTTTTACGAAAACATAAAGGTAAATTTTTAGCTCTGTAAAATGGAACAGACTCTCAAAGCATGAGTTAGAATCTTGGCAGAGATGCTTAAGATTGGATGCTTCCTTGGCTTTATTAAGAGAAATCAATTGCATTTTAAAAGGTTTCCTAATCTATTCCTTCTTTCATTCAACAAACATTTATTCTGTGCCTACTACATGCTAAATCCTCATGATACAGGGTAACAGTCCTGGCTTTCAAGTAAGTCAAGCCAGAGCAGACAAACATGTAAGCACATAATTACAAATAATTATAATGTGAATAGTGCTTGTGAACTGTTTGCAGTAAAAACACAGGAAATAATGTGTCAGGGAGACTTTAAAAATAGTTGATTTTTCAACAGAGTTTTTCTGTGAGATTAAGAAAGGAAGACAGCATGTCACACAAAGGGAGTATGTGCAAAAGCAGAGAAGCAGGGAGACTTCATTGTCACTGAAGCATATTTGTGTTGGAAAATTATGGGCGTATTTGAAAGAAAGGAAAAAGCTAGATCATATACAGTCCTCATGTCATTTTGAAACGTTGTTTCAATGTATATCTAGTAAATCAACACTATATTTTAAAGTATTTGTTAATTGCAGAAAATCATCTTGACAAATGAGTCATGAAAAGAAAATTTAAAGAATATTAATTATTTTGGTAATAGAGATAATAGATTTGAAAAAAAAAACCTGTAAAAGAAAATTTCCTTTTTCAAATGTGAATGAAACTGTAAAACTCAGTACAATTAGTAATTAGTGTCTCTGTTTTACTTCTGTGTAGCTCAGTTGGTAATGCCTTACCAGACTGGTTTATGCTTCACCACTCATTGAAACTGTTTTTATTAATTTCACTAATGACATTACCTTCCTGCCCCCCAATAAACAGTAGCTTTTTCTTATATCTCATCTTCTTCTGCATCTCTATAGCACTGGAAATTTTTATCCCTCCTCCCTTGGCTTCCTTATATTGATTGTACTTTCACCTTCCCTTTTCTCACTGAAACTAATTTCTTCTCTCTCTTTCTACCCTCTAAATGTGACATTCCTAAGTCTTATCCTGTTCTCTTGCTTTCTATACACTCTTTCTCTTGCTTATCTCATTCCATAGCTTCTGCTATTATGTCTCTATTAAACTATCAGATTTCTATTTTTAGATGCAAACATTTTAGCCTTGTATTTCCAGATAACTTCTAAATCTTTCTTTTGCATGTCCTCCAACTCAGTGCATCTAAAATTGAATTTATTTTCATTTTGTCAACTTAACCTCTTTCTCTTCACTTGCCTTTTTTTATTTTTATACCACCATCCTTTTAATCACCTAAGACTCAAACCTGAAAAAATTTTAGGTTTTTTTTAGCTTCCTTAGCACCCTATCACAGTTGCCAAATTCTGTTGATTCTTTTGTAAACGTGTCAATATTTATTGCCACCACTATCATTACATTTTACCTCTGCAAATAGTATCTCACCAACCTCAGTGCCTATTGATAAATGGCACACTTATGGAAATCAGTCCCAAGATAATAGGAGTTCAATAAATGATTGTTGAATGAAATGAAATACATACATTTCCCCCGACAACAGAGGATGAATTTTGGCGTTAGGTAGATTTTTTTTGTTGTTTTTTCAAAGTCGGATTCATAATTCTCACAAAAATAGTACTTCTGTTAAGGTAAAAGGATTTTATATACATATCATCCTAAAATAGGCCTGTGTTTAATGAAACTTTATTGGATTTGTTTGTGGATTTAAATCTTTTTCCCAAATGTTTATATTTGATGTGAATTTGAAAAGCCAACTGTATTCCACACATTTTGTAGCTGTACTTCTTAGTTACTCTTCACATTCCACTACAGGCATTTCTAATATACTAACTTGTGAGGAACAGTATGCTGTATTTCTGTATCTGATGATATAATCAGAATTTAGTTTATACTTCTTAATACAAAGTAGAGTATATTGTGTAGAATGTAGTTTATGACATGAATTTTTATTTCGCCTGCTTGTTTTAATATGTCTTCATTTAAAAATAGAAAAACATTTGTTACTAGGTTTCATTATTTATGAATAGCTTTTTTATAACCAAATCTATTAGAAGTATATAGTGAAATAAAATAGTAATAATTGTGACAAATATATGTCCCAAAGTAGGGATCTCCAAATTTTTGACCAGGTCTCTACTACTAACTTGTACAAAGAGGACACTTAGAAAAATCACTGTGGGAATATTACGGTAGTAAAGATTTTGTGCAAAATGTTAATTCTCTTTAATTAAGATAAAGCACGTAATATTGGGAAGAAGCTTTATGCTCAGCAGTAGGCAGAACTAAGGTCTTCTTTGTTAAAAGCAAATTGAGTGACCTCTTTGGGCTTTTCATCTAATTTCCCTAGTGCTGCTGTAGACATTACCATTTGACTGGTAAGGTAAGGAAGAGGGTAAAAAAAAGAATTTCTTCAAAATTCTTGGAGCAAAAATCTCATTTGGTCATTATGTCAATTAGGAAGCAAACTTAGGCCTATCAGCAACAAAACTGTTAGACCACCAAGAGAAAAACTAAAGAGACTGGTGTTACTAAGAGACCAAATCCAAGGAGATAACTTGCCATGATATCTCAAATATTTCATCATACCAAAACCTAGACCTATTGCTGTCTACCCAGTAAATGTTAATGCCTGTGGTTGTCATCTTTAGAGTGGGAAGAGAGAAGACAACTTGTAGGGCTTTTGTACTCCTCCAGTGGTTGGAGTATGCCACTAATGTGTCAATCTGTTTACAGAAATCACTGCACAGTCAGATGCTAGTGAAATTCGACAGGACTGGAAACCTACATTCCTTAGTAATGAAGAGTTTACACAATTAATGTTAGAGGTATGTCCAGATTTAATTTTTGAAAGTTTTATTTTTCTCAAAAAAGAAATCACAATGTGACTTAATATACAGGTATACCTTGGCAAAATTGAGAGTTGAGTTCCAGACCACTGCAATAAAGCTAATATTTCAATAAAATGAGTCACATGAATTGTTTTGTTTCTCTGTAGTCTATTAGGTGTGTAATATCATTATACATTTAAAAAATTGGTCATACCTAAATTTTAAAAGTTTATGGCAAAAAATGTTAACAATCCTCTGAGCCTTCAGCAAGTCTTAGTCGTTTTGCTGGTAGAAAGTATTGCCTCAGTGTCAGTGGCTACTAACTGATCAGGGTGGTGGTTGCTGAAGGTTGGGGTGGCTGAGGCAATTTCTTAAAATGAGTCAACAGTGAAGTTTGCCACATCGATTGACTCTTCCTTTCAAGAAGATTTCTCTGTAATGTGCTGTTTGATAGCATTTTACACAGAATAGAACTTGTTTCAGAATTATAGAATAAACTCTCAAACCCTGCTGCTGCTCAGTCAAGTTTATGTAATATCCTATATACTTTGCTGTAATGTCAACAATATTCACATCTTCATCAGGAGTAGAGTTGATCTCAAGAAACCACTTTCTTTACTCATCAGTGGAGCAACTCCTCATCAGTTCAGGTTTATTAGGAGATTGCAGCAATTAGTCACATTTTCAGACTCCACTTCTAATTGTAATTCTCTTGCTATTTCCACCACATCTGCAGTTACTTCCTCCACTGATATCTTGAACCCCTCAAAGTTATCTACAGGGTTGGAATCAACTTTTACTTAACTCCTCTTAATGTTGATATTTTGATGTTCTCCCCTGAATCACAAATATTCTCACACCATCTAGAAGGGTGAATTCTTTCCAGAAGATTTTCAGTTGACGTTGCCCAGATCCATCATAGGGATCACTATCTGTGGGAGCTGTAGCCTTATGAAATGTATTTCTTAAGTAAGACTTGAAAGTCAAAATTATACCTTGACCCATGGGCTGCAGAATGGATGTCGTGTTAGCAGACATGATAACAACATTAACCTCCTTGTACATCTCATCTCCGTCACCACTCTTGGGCAACCAAGTGCATTGTCAATGAGCAATAATATTTTAAAGGAATCTATTTTTCTCACCAGTAGGTCTCAACAGTGGGCTTTAAATATTCAGTAAACCATGCTATCAACAGATGTGCTGTCATCCAGGCTTTGTTGCTCTATTTATAGAACATACGCTGGGTATATTTAACATACTTCTTAAGAGCTTTGGGACTTTCAGAATGGTAAATAAACATTGGCTTCAACTTAAAGGTCACCAGCTGCATTTGCCCCTGACAAGACAGTTAACCTGTATTTTGAAGCTTTGAAGCCAGATTTGGCTTCTCTTCTCCAGCTTTGAAATTTCTAAATGGCATCTTCTCCCAATAGAAGGCTGTTTCATCTGCAATTAAACTCTAGTATTTACTGTAGCCACCTTCATCAATGATCTTACCTAGATCTCCTGGATCACTTGCTGTAGCTTCTACATCAGCACTTGCTGCTTCACCTTGCACTTTTATGTTGTAGAGATGGCTTCTTTCCTTATACCTCGTGATCTAACTTCTGCTCACTTCTGACTTTTCTTCTGTAGTTTCCTTACCTGTCTCCACCTTCACAGAATTGAAGACAGTTAAGTCCTTGCTCTGGATTAGGCTTTGGCTTAAGGGAATGTTGTGGCTGGTTTTTGATCTTCTATGCAGACCACTCAAACTTCCTCCATATCAGGAGTAAGACTGTTTCACTTTCTAATCATACATGTGTTCACTAAAACTTTGCTTTTTTTGATTACAACTTTGCTACCTGTTTAGTACAAGAGGTCTAGCTTTTGGCTTGTCTCAGTTTTCAACATGACTTCCTTACTGAGCTTAATCACATCTAGCTTTTGATTTAAAGTCAGAGATGAGGGACTTTTCCTTTCACTTGAATACTTAGAGGACATTGTAGAGTTACTAATTGTCCTAATTTCAATATTGTTGTGTGTCTCAGGGAATGGGGAATTCCAAGAAGAGGGAGAGGGATGAGGGAATGGCCGGTCAGCTTGTGGAGCAGTCAGAGCACATATAACATTTAAGTTCACCATCTTATGTGGGCAAATCACCATTATAGATACAATAATAATGAAAAAGTTTGAAATATTGCAAGAATTACTAAAATGTGATACAAGAGACACAAAGTGAACATGTGCTATTGAAAAAAACGACACTGATAGACTTGCTTGACACAGGTTGCTATAAACCTTCATTTTGTAAAAAAACAACACCCAGTAACTGTCTAGTGCAATAAAACGAAGCACAGTAGAATAAGGTATGCCTGTATAAATATATTATGGCCATGTATCAAGTGTCTTTGTATACTTCCTGGAGTCTGAAGCAAGGTAGAGTATTTTGCAAATTGAGTTATTTTTCTGTTTGTATTTTAGATGGGGCAATTGTGTGATTAATTCTTTATGTATTCAGCAGAAATGTTTCTATATGCAAATTTGTTGGAATATAAATATAAACATTTAAACCTATACTTTAAATCAGAAAAATAAGTGAACAATTTTTATATATTAACTCATTGAATCCTTGCAACACTCTTGTGAAGTAGATAGTAGTATCTCTTTCTTGCATTCAGATGGGGAAATTAAGGAATAGTTGTCTTCTTTTTTTTTTTTTTGAGATGGAGTCTTGCTCAGTCACCCATGATATGCCCACTGCCACCTCTGCCTCCCAGGTGAACCTCCCTGAAGTAATTCTCCCACTTTAGCCTCCAGAGTAGCTGGGATTACATGTGGCACCATGCCCAGCTAATATTTTTATTTTTAGTAGAGACAAGGTTTACCATGTTGGTCAGGCTGGTCTCGAACTCAGCCTCAAGTGATCCACCCACTTGGCCTCCCAAAGTGGGGATTGCAAAGCATGAGCCACCGTGCCTGTCCAACAATTGTTTACTTTTGACCCTGTTATGAAATAATAATACTGACATCATTATACTAAAGAATTTTTAAAAAATAATTCATGAGTTTGCTCAAATGATAAGATTTCTCTGTTAGCAAAGACTAGTTTGTTTGAGTCATTCTAGAAGATACGCATCTACTCCAAGTAAATTCTTTGTGATATCCAGATCTCTTTCCAAAAAGGAGGGGACATGGGGGAGGATACCTTTTTTTCTATAATTTATCAATTATATAGAGTTAGGGAAGGTTACTCTAACTCCCAGCTCTATAAATTGTATACTGAAAGTCCTTTTTCTTGTGCTACACTACTGCTGCAGATAAAAGGATTAATAAGATATACATGGTTCCTACCAGAGGTTACTATCCTTTTTGAGAGCTCTTTAATTAAACAAGAAATTAGAGTTTAGTATTTTAACCACTTTTAAAGAAGAATCCCTCTTATAGTATCTTTTCTGCTATGGATCCACTGGATCCTTATTTCCCTTAGCCTTCAAATTTAATTGCCCTTTTTTTAAATTGCCTTCTCTTGATATTTGGCCCCCTTAGAACTGTTTGCCTTTTTCTTCCCTTCTAACCTTCATGAATGAGTGATTTGTAGTAGTCTTCTGATTATGCACTCGTTTTTAAACTCATTTTGGTCTGATTTGCCTTCCTGTTAGCATATAACTTTTTGAAAATCACCAAAATTCATTTCTCATTTTCTTATGTCTTATTTTATCTCGTTTGATACTCTCCTCTTCACTTTCTAATTCTCTCTTCCATTGATTCCTTGGTGACAGCGTATTCTGTCTTCTCTATTATTTTCCTTTTTTTTAATTTTTATTTTTATTACTATTATGAGACAGAATCTCACTCTGTTGCCCAGGCTGGAGTACAGTGACATGATCATGGCTCACCGCAGCCTCAACCTCCTGGGCTCAAGTGATCTCACCCCAGCCTCCCAAGCAGCTGGGACCACAGGCATGTGCTACCACACTTGGCTAATTTTTAAATTTTTTTGCAGGGATAAGGTTTCACCGTGTTGCTCAGGCTGGTCTCAAACTCCTGGGTTCAAGTGATCCTCCCACCTCGGCTTCCCAAGTTGCTATCATCACAGGCATAAGCCACTGCACCCAGCCTTCTCTGTCATTTTCTCTGGCTTTTTTTTTTCTCTTCCTCATCCCATAGATAGATAGATAGATAGATAGATAGATAGATAGATAGATAATTCTTTCAGGATTTGTCTTTCGCAGATCTGATTTCTTCAGCTGTCACTTCTGTGCCTAGGATTCTCAAATGAAAATACATTGTAGTGTACAAAGTACATACTGCTTTGTTATTAAGTCTTGTACTCCCTGCTCTGACTTCTTCTGAAATCGAACTTCACATTTCTCAATGCTTGCTCAGAGTACTTTCTTTATTCCTTATACTACTGATTTCATTCTGATTCCCATTAACTTCCTTCATTATTCCAAAAGCCACTATGATTTTCCTAATTATATTTTCTTTGCCCTCTAAATCCATTTTTCACCCTGCTTCCACACTACTCTTAATGAAGCACAGCCCATGCCCTAAAATCTTCTGTTGGCTTACCATTGTTTACAGAATAAAATTCCTAATGGTAGCCTTGTATTCAAAACTTTTATGATATGACCTCAGCCTAATTTTTCACCTTAATTTCCTGCTACTCCCTTTTACTTTATTCTCCATATATCTCCTTAAACTTCAAACATACACCTCTGTGTTAACATAGCCATGATAATAACAATGTGTTATTTTGTGTGCCTAAAAAACATTGTTGATGTCTTGTGTGCTTTGGAGATGTCAGCATCTTCAAATAAGCCATAATACTATACATACATGGTTGGATCATGTAATATACATAGTTATGAAGGTAGAGCATTGTCTCTACCTTTCAGAGACTAGTTGTCCGATGGATGGCCAGAGAGAGACTTTTTTTTCTCCAGAAGCATTTAAAAATGAACAAAGATACATACCAAGGTATTGTAAAGAGGGAAAGCTAGTATATATTTTGATAGAACCTTGAATATTTTCATATTAAATCCCTTGTCATTTATCTCAGATTTTTATTTCTGTCCTGCGAAATACTTTTTTCTTTTCATTTAACATACCATTATGTTTAATTTCAGGCTCTTGATGGTTTTTTTTTAGCAATCATGACAGATGGAAGCATAATATATGTGTCCGAGAGTGTAACTTCATTACTTGAACATTTACCAGTAAGTATAAAGATCCTACAATCTACTTCTAATTAAAATGCATATTTTAAATATTCCAAAGCACTAGGAAGTGGACTTTGAGAGCAATGTTGAATAGTGGTTAATGGAGTAGGGATAAGAGCTTTAAGTATGTCTTTGTTTTAGCATGTGTTTTCTCAGCTCAGTCCTAAGTCTCTAATCTGTAGTAACTTAATATTCAACTACAGTTGTGCATCACTAAACAATGGGAATATGTTCTGAGGCACTTTTGTCACTGTATGAACATCATAGAGTATAGTTATGCAAACCTAGATGTATAACCTACTACCCACCTAGGCTATATAGGTATAGCCTGTTGCTCCTAGACTACAACCTGTACAGCATGCTACTGTGCTGAATACTATAGGCAATTGTCACAACAAGTATTTACATGTTTAAAAATACTAAACATAGAAAAGGTACAATAAAAATGCAGTATCAAAGATAAAAAATGGTATACCTGTATAGGGCACTCACCACGAATGAAACTTGCAGGACTGGAAGTTGCTTTGGGTGAGTCAGTGAGTGAGTGATGAGTGAATGTGAAGGGCTAAGACAGTATCGTAATCTTTATAGACTTTATAAACACTGTACACTTAGGCTACTTTATATAAAAATTTTTTCTTCAATAATAAACCTTAGCTTATTGTAATTTTTTTAGTGTAAACTTAAAAACTTCTTAAAACTTTTTTACTCTTGTGATAACACTTAGCTTCTTAACACTTTGGGAGGCCAAGGCTGGCAGATTGTTTGAGTTCAGGAGTTTGAGACCAGCCTGGGCAACATGGTGAAACCTTGTCTCTAAAAAAAACATAAAAGTTAGCCAAGTGCCATGGCTTGCACCTGTGGTCCCAGTTACTCGGGAGGCTGAGGTAGGAGGATTGCATTGAGCCCAGGAGGGCAAGGCTAAAGTGAACCGTGATAGTGTCACTGCACTCCAGCCTGGGTTACAGAGCAAGACCCTGCCTCAAAAAAAAAAAAAAAAAAAAGATGTACAGCTCTACAAAAATATTTTTTTTCTTTATATCCTTATTTCAAAAGCTTTTTTCTATTTAAATAACTTTTATAAAAACTTTTTACACATTTTTATTTAAAACTAAGACACAGACACACATTAGCCTAGGCCTATGCAAGGTCAGGATCATCAACATCACTATCTTCCACCTCCACATCTTGCCCCATTGGAGGGTCTTCAGGAGCAACAACAGATACAGAGCTGTCATCTTCTATATTTATAGTACCCTTTTGAAATACCTCCTAAAGGACCTGCCTGAGGCTAGTTTAGAGTTAACTTTAAAAATAGATGTAAATAGAAGAATACTCTAAATCATTAAAGGCATAGTAAATATATAAATTAGTAGCATGATTGTTTATTATCATGTACATATGTACTGTATATGATTTTATGTGCTAAACTTTTATATGACTGGTGGCACAATAGGTTTGTTACACAAGCATCACCACAAACACAAGTGTAAAAGATGAGTAATGCATTGATTATGACATTGCAACAGAGAGGACATCACTAGACAGTAGTAATGTTTCATTTCCACTATAATCTAGAGGACCACCTGTGGTCATAAATGGAGACTGTTATTGACTGAAACATTGTTATGCAATGCAAGGCTGTACCACTTTATCTGACCTCTCTTTTTCCTCTCTCCTTTATTCTAGTGCTTTTTAGCATTTCTGTTTTAATCAGCCTGTTGAAAATGTTAATTTCAACTGAGAATGTCTTGAGAATAACTAAATTTCTGCTGAGATATTTGTTGCAATTAGGGCAATTTGTAAATACTTTTCCCAATAGAATTACTTATAAAAACACTCTAAAAATAGTAGATACAGAACTTTTTATGCTGTGTGACTTCGAACTGCTAATGTCATGTCAGCTATATTTTAATTCCTTATCATTATGACCAAAAGGGTAGAAAATTGGAAAAGTATATTTTGTTTTATTAGGATTTGAGAACTGAGTAGATGTATGGCCACATCGAATATGGTCAGCCTCATTTAGAGATTTTAAGTATAGTGCACACCACCATGCTCAACTAATTTTTGTGTTTTTATTAGAGATGAGGTTTTTCTCCATTTTGACGAGGCTGGTCTCGAACTCCTGACCTCAGACAGTCTACCTGCCTTGGCCTCCCAAAGTGCCAAGATTCCAGGCATGAGCCACTGCACCCAGCCATGCCTGAATTTTTAGTTCATTCCTTCAGTTCTAGAGGCTTTTCAGACTTCCAGAAGGATCCTTTATTAAAATACAGATATATTTTTGGTGTGGTTACCCCTTAAGCCATTATCAAATACTCCTTAGTCTAAAATCATTTATTGTACTACTAACTGTTAAATACAAAAGTGTATGGTGTTCATGTGCCTTGATTACAAGTGAGACAGATAAAGCTATAAGAGATAGGGCCCTTTTATTCACCTATAGGGCAATAAGACATAGACATTAAAATATAGTCATCCCTTGGTATCCTTAGGGGATTGGTTCCAGGACCCACTACAAATACCAAAATCCATGGATTTTGCTCAAGCCCCACAGATAAAATGTTGTTGTATTTACATGTAACTTATACACATTTTCCCATATACGTTAAATCATCTCTAGATTATTTATAATACCTAATACAATGTGAATGCTGTGTAAATAGGTGTTATACTATAGTGTTTAGGGAATAATGACAAGAAAAATATCTGCACATATTTGGTACAGACACAACCATCCATTTTTTTTCCCAAATATTTTTGCTCCATAGTTGGTTGAATTCTGTTAAATGGGAAATGAATGATACAAGTAATACATACTAAAGGAATCCTTTTAAATGTGGATTATGGTGTTAAGGGAATGCTTTCTTGAAAGAAGTGATTAGAACTGGTCTTTGACAGTTGAAGGAACAGATATATGTGGGAGAAGTCATTTCACTTCATAGAGTGGGCTTAGAGGGCTAGAAAAAGACAGAAGAAATGATGGGAATGTGTGGCTTATATGAAGAGTAGTATCAGGTTGATGCAAAAGTGATTGTGGTTTTTGTCATTAAAAATATGGCACCAACCTAATACAATATGCCTGTCTTTAAGCAGCAGAGCTCTTCAAACAAAATCTTTATAGATGCATAAAACAAAAACAGAATAAAAAGTAGAACTGCTTTCGTTTAGTGAAGGGACCGTGAGTCCTGCCTCACAGCTCCTTTTCATTTCTCTACTGTCTAGTCCCACCTTTATAGTCCTTGAGATAACTGTCCCAGTATCCCTAGGATTCCACAGAGTAGTCTGAAATGGAGAAAACCAGGTAGAATGCATAGTAGCAAATGTAAAGTCATGGAAGTTTCATTATCAGTGGTACTTAAGCATAGGAACTATGTTCATCTGTGATTCCACAGCTGTGGCACATTATAGCCAACCTGATATTTGTCAAATTGCTATTGATTAATCATGATTAAAGCTATATATTAGCAAGAATTATAATGCTTAGCATATTAGTTGCCCTTTTGAGGGGTTATAACTAAACGCAAGGCTTTTTTACAATGGGATTCAGGATAAATGCCAGGAAAAGATTAAATAAAGGACACAGTGGACAATTGAAATCACACCAAAGTAAAGTCTCCTCTTTATTTAGCTGTGCCTATCCCTTTCTAATAGGATATACCACCGTTGTTTACCATAGGTTTGAATATATGGTAAGGCTATGACTCACCAGAGATTTTTCTTATTAACGCTCTTGGTCCCATTGTATGCCGAAATGTTCAAAATGTTTTGGTGAAACACTGCTTTGCAAATAATTTGTCAGGCTTTCGAGATCATATTGGTCATGGATCAGATGACATTAGTATCATCTCAGTCTTGTTTGTTGAGATTTGTTGGTTTTCACAGATTATTGAAAGTTAGCTTCTGTGTTTAATAGCGATTATGTACTTTTAAAATAATTGTCTCTTGAATCATTAAAGCTATTTTACTTTTTAAAATTTTCTTTTCAGTCTGATCTTGTGGATCAAAGTATATTTAATTTTATCCCAGAAGGGGAACATTCAGAGGTTTATAAAATACTCTCTACTCATCTGCTGGAAAGTGATTCATTAACCCCAGAATATTTAAAATGTAAGTAGTAGCTGTTAAGCAGAAAAGTCAAATATTGTATTCGGTAGCATTATCCTACTGCAAGTTTATGAAAAATACAGACTTCTTTAAATAACAACATTACTTCATATGCCCTATTAGGTCCTTTTTAAATATTAAAATACATATAAAATGAAATTGTGACTGTATTAAAATTCTGAAATCTATTTCAGAGTATATTGAAATCCCATTTTATTTGTTATAATAAATCCTGGACTACCATTACACCATAAAGCTGTATTTTATGCAAAAGTGAGACCTGGCAATATATTGTTATTAATTTATAAATAAAACCTTAGTGTATTTAATGAGAGAAAATTAAACATTCTAATTTTCACCATTGTTAACCAATTGGACACTCAAACTGGAAAAACTTTTTATATTTCTTTTAAAATTATTAAATATAAAGAAATATTATCTACTTTATTAATTAAACAGTCATTTGTTAGATATATCTAATTTGCTGGACACTTGTGCTATATCATGCCAAAAATAGTGAAAATAGTCCTTAACATCAAGAAACACAACATATTATGGTAGAATTAGACATTCTACTAGGTCCATTGCCAAACTGATTTGACCAGAGTACCTCATTTTCTTCATACATTACCCTGTATAAAATCCAAAATCGTGGCAGCAGTATATTTGGCCATTAGCTATTAGATATCTTCTTTAATCACTTTTTTCATTATTTTTAAATGTGTCGCATCCACTAATACTGACGTATTAAAGATTTTTTGTATTTGATTCAAATTCTATAGCACAGTGTCTGAAAATTGCACACACACACACACACAGGTTTGTATGTATGTATAACTTTGACAAGAGTGGATGGCCTTTCAGAGAGAGTTGAGAAAAATTAGACTTAGAGAATTCATTGGAAGCCTTGTTTTAAAATCAAGTTTATATGACATTGACCATTAGGCCACTCTAGGCTGGTAGTTAGAAAGATTTAGGCTGGATATAATAGACACCAACACCCACGAAGTCGTGGGTGGAATGGTATTGCTTGAGGTAAATATGTAAAATGAGGAGAGAGGAATTAGAAAGGGGGAGCCCAGCCGGGCGCGATGGCTCACGCCTATAATCCCAGCACTTTGGGAGGCTAAGGCAGGCGGATCACTTGAGGCTAGGAGTTCGAGACCATCCTGGCCAACATGGCAAATCCCCATCTCTACCAAAAATTAGCCAGGCGTGGTGGTGCATGCCTGTAGTCCCCGCTACTCAGGAGGCTGAGATAGGATAATTGCTTGAACTCAGGAGGCGGAGGCTGCAGTGAGCCAGGATCATACCACTGCACTCCAGCCTGGGCAATAGAGTGAGACTTTGTCTCAAAAAAGAAAAAGAAAAAGAAAAAAATGGAACACTTTGGAGATAGCAGTAAGAAGACAAAGGAGAAGGCGTTTGCTTTGGAGACCCTACTAAGAATAGGATTGACTGGAGAACTAAATAAAAGCCTTTGGCAGAAAGAGCTTAGGTTTCTGCTTCCAAGAACAGAAATAAAAATGGCAGGAATACTTAAGAAAAGCCCTAATTAAATGGCTTGCTGATCTTCTAGTTAAACAAGTGATATACAAAAGAGTTCTTGCCCCAGAAAAAAAGAAAGTTTTATGCCAAAAGAATAAACACAAGTTAAAACACAGGAAAAATTACTTAGAAAATTCAGTAAGTCCTTTTGGCCGTAATGAAGGTGAGGTTGTACAAGTAGTATAATTTGTGTCTAGACAAGGAATAAGAACAAAATTATAAAAGACCTAATAGTTCATCCTAAGGAATTTGATTTTTATTTTTTACAGAGTAGAAAGCCAGTGAAGGAGATTTGGGTAAAAAAAGAAAAAAAAAATCAGGTACATAATGGAAAGTCTTTTTGGAGAAGGCTAGGAAGAAGACTTGCAAAAAAAAAAAAAATCAAGTAAATAGTGGAAAGTCCCTTTGAAATAGGCTAGGGAGAAGACTTGCAGCGGTGGGCTACCTACCCCAGGCTTATCTGGCTTTTGCTTCATAAAGAGGCCCTGAGTCTGAGAGTTGAATGAGAGCCCTGGATTTCTGTGTCATAGTGGCTCAACTCAGGCTGTGCTCACCTGACCTGCAGACTTCCTACTATACAAATCAAGTGATAGCTTTATGGAGTTACTCCTCAGTTTCATTCCTAGGGTTCAGTTAAGCACAACCACAGATCTTATGGATCAGACCATTCTGATGACCAAGCTGGCCCTACTGCCTGGTACAGTAACTATGATTACTTTTTCTGTGACAGCTGTTCTGCCTCATTGAGGTCCAGGCCTTCATTGTAATGGAAGCATCTTTCACCAGCATCTATGGCTTAGAGAGAGTGCCAGTACCTTGCTTACAAAAGTTGCTACCACTTTCATCATCTAGTGTGGGAGATTTAAAAAAAATCACTCAGGTAGAAAATTTTGGGAAGAACCAGACTGGAGACAAAAAGAAAAACCATATAATCCTAGCAGTAAAAGTAAGGATGGGCTGGGCACAGTGGCTCACACCTGTAATCCCAGCACTTTGGGAGGCCAAGGCAGATGTATCACTTGAGCCCAGGAGTTCAAGACTAGCATGGGCAACGTGGTGAAACACCATCTCCACAATGAAAAGAAATACAAAAATTAGCTGAGTGTGGTGGCACATGCCTGTAGTCCCCACTATTTGGGGGTCTGAACTGGAGGATCACTTGCGCCCAGGAGGTAGAGGTTGTAGTAAGCCGAGATCATGCCACTGTACTCTAGTCCTGGGCGACAGGGTGAGACTTTGTCTCAAAAAAAAAAAAAAGAAAAAGGCCAGGTGTGGCAGCTCACGCCTGTAGTCCTAGCACTTTAGGAGGCCATGGTGGGCAGATCACCTGAGGTTGGGAGTTTGAGACCAGCCTGACCAACATGGAGAAACCCTGTCTCTACTGAAAATACAAAATTGTCTGGACGTGGTGACGCATTCCTATAATGCCAGCTACTCAGGAGGCAGGAGAATGCTTGAACCCAGGAGGCAGAGGTTGTGGTGAGCTGAGATCACGCCATTGCACTCCAGCCTGGGCAACAAGAGTGAAACTCCAGCTCAAAAAAAAAAGGAAAGGATGGAGAGGAAAGTGTATGACTGTTAAGTGTGTAAACTCAATAGGACTTGTGTTAGGCTCCGGTGACCAAGCGGCCAAGAATCATCAGTGGGGAAGGGTTTTTTGAAGAAGATACATTTCGAACCTATTAGGTTAGATGATAAAGCTATTTATGTTGATAATGCCTGAAGAATATAAGCCTGAAGTAGTGAACAAAGAGAGGTGTTACTTGTCCTTGAGTGCTGAAATAGTATCACGAAAGTAGTTATAAGTCTAAGAGTAATAGGCAGAATGAATCAGAGTGGCAGAATGGGGAGGCATAATGAATACATGTTTCAGCTTACCGAAATGCACAGTAATGTGCAACTACACTAAATTGGTGGGCTTCCTTGGTGAAATAAGTAGCAGATCTTGGTGACAGATTAGGTTTGGGACTTGCGATGGGAAGAGAAGAGACCAAACTATGATACGGTTTCTGACTTAGGAAATAAGCATATATAGACGAAGGGGGTTTGAAAGAAATTCACTTTTAAATATTTTGAATTTAAGTTACTGATAGTACACTCAAGTACAAATATCCTGAAAGCAAATGATAGGAAAGTTTGCTTATATAAAATGGAGAGAGAGATACAGGATCAGAAGAACCTTTGTGAAAACTCCTAGTATGGAAATGTATTGGCAGAAGAGATAGGAATAGTCAGTAAGGTAGGAAGGTAAGTTTATGCCATGGGAATGACAAAGCATGAGTTTTAAGAAGAGGAGGAAATGAAAAACCATTGAAGTTAACAATACAAATGTTAGTAATCTTGAGAATAATTGCTGTAGAGGTGTAAGAATGAAAGCTACAGTGTATGAAGTTAAAGGAAATTAATACAGGGAAGATGGAGCCCATAATGAAAAGGAAAGAGGTCTGTAATACCAAAGTACTTAGCAAAACTTTGTTTGAGATGGAAGACCTGAGCAAATTTAAAAGTAGATAGTAAAGACCCTTGGCCAGGTGCAGTGGCTCTATTGCCTGTAATCCTACCACTTGGGAAGTTGAGGCAGGAGGATCACTTGAGCTCAAGAGCTTATGCCCAGCCTGGGCAACATAGTGAGACATTTCTACAAAAAATGAAAAATTAGCCAGGCATGATGGCTCACACCTGTAGTCTTGGCTGCTAGGGAGGCTGAGGCAGGGGGCTCACTGCAGCCTGGGTGACAAAGCAAAACCCTGTCTCAAAAAAAAAAAGTAAGGGCCCAAAGGTGTAGATGCTAAAGGAATAAGGAACAGTGGTATGACCCTAGTCCTAGAGAAAACAGAAAAGACTATTCAAGGTAGAGATAGAAGCATTAGCTTTAGAATGGGAAGCAAAACTTGTCTGTGAAAGTGAGTGAACAATGAAAAGGAAGGATAGATAAAAATAGGGAAACATTAGGTTGTTTGAACCAGAAAATCTATTTTCTTTGTTAAAGACAAAGGGAGGTCATCTCCTGAACATACTTTGCATTTATGAACTAAATGTCATTGATGATTTCTATTGGGGAAAATAATGGTTGTAAACTTAGACAGCTTTAGTGATCTTATTTTATGTGATATATCAGTTGTTGTCCTAGATCACAAATATGTGATTTTAAAAATTTCTTTATTTCAGCAAAAAATCAATTAGAGTTCTGTTGTCATATGCTCCGAGGAACAATAGACCCGAAGGAGCTATCTACCTATGAATATGTAAAATTTATAGGAAATTTCAAATCTTTAAACAGTGGTAAGTTAAATGCTTCTCTTACAATGTGTTTTAACTTGTTATTTTTCTATGCTCTTAAAGACATAGATGTTTGAATATCAGTAACAACTAGGTTTTACTGGCATAACTGATAATACATATTTCCCTATTGTTTTAGTATCCTCTTCAGCACACAATGGTTTTGAAGGAACTATACAACGCACACATAGGCCATCTTACGAAGATAGAGTTTGTTTTGTAGCTACCGTCAGGTTAGCTACACCGCAGTTCATTAAGGTATGTTTCTAATTTTATTCCCCAAAGGAGATTTAAGTTCATATGCTGAGAACTGCCTGAAACTTTTGCAGACATTGAGGTGGAATGGCTATGAGTCATTAAATATGCATGATAGTAATATTTTTGAAACAAGTTATCAAGACACTCACTAAATTGTAAAACCAGTTTTTAGTATATATCCTTTGCAGTTAACCAGTGATTATTATATATCAGTATTGCCGTACTTTTGTGGAAGATTTTAGGATGCCTTTGTGTATCGTTCATTATCTCTATTAAAAGGGAAAGTCCAAAAATGTAGGTTTTTGGAATCTTTATTTTTAGAAGGTCATTTTTAAAATTGTATTTGAAATGTCCAAGTGGCTCTTTACTGCATTTAACTTGTGTTTTCAAATGTAAAATTAAGTATTTTATTTTTATTTCCTGGGTCCAACAAACAGATGGTAAGTAGGGAAGTAGGAAAGTGAAACAGTTCAACCACTAGCAGGTGACTGGAAAGAAGCAGCTAGGCTAAGATTTAAAATTTAGGTGTGGCCAGGCGCAGTGACTCATGCTTATAATCCCAGCACTTTGGGAGGGCGAGGCAAGAGGATTGCCTGAGCCCAGGAGTTTGAGACCAGCCTGGGCAATATGGCAAGATGCCATCTTTACAAAAAAATACAAAAAATTAGCCACGCATGGTGTTACACACCTGTGGTCTCAGTTACTCAGGAGGCTGAGGTGGGAGGATCACTTGAGCCCAGGAGGTTGAGGCTGCAGTGAATTGTGTTTGCGTCACTGTAATAGCTTGCGTCTGCCTAGGTGACAGAGTGAGACTCTGTCTCAAAATAAATAAAATTTTGGGACATCATAGTGTAGGACAAAGTACAGAATTAATAGACGATCTTAAACCAGTCTTGCTCTGTTTGTTTTGGTCTTATTAAATAATAATTGTCAACATTTGAGTGCTTACTACATGCTGCGTATTTTATATTTATTATCTTATTTAATTCTTATGACGACTCTAAGGTAGATGCTATTATGATCCCTAATTTTACATTATGAGGAAACGGAGGCTTAGGAAAGTTACGTTACTTGCCCAACTTCTCAGCTATTAAGTGATTAAACTGGGACTTGATTCTATTAATAATTTTTTTTTTTTCAAAGCTCAAGCTCTCCACTACAGTGTGCTGCAGGTCATTCACGGACACAGAGGCAGGATGTAATACATTGTTTAGTATGACTAGAGTGTAGGATTAATGCATGGAAGGGGAAGAGATAGTGAGAGGTAAGGCTAGAAAAGTAATGAGAAACCAGAAATGAAATTTTTTTCTTTATTTCATGTTTATTTCTCCATGCTGAAGAGATTTTAGCACAAGGAACCATTGGAAGTTTTTTACCAGGGAAGCCATATAATATTTGAGTATTGGGAAGGTAATTGTGGTCCTAGAAGAGAAGATGAGTTGAAGGACAGGGAGTCTGGTGAACAAATCAGTGACGGCAGGGTTCTAAACCAATGCACTCAAGGCAGATGAGATGGAATTGATTTTTCAAATACTTGGATGAAATGGAAGGATTTAGTAGTGGCCCCTTAGATGATAAAAGGTAAAAATGAAAAAGTATGTTTTAACTATCAGCTTTCTAAACACTGGCCACTATACATGTACGGAATAATATGGAAAATTGTGTAACTGGGTGTGAAGAGTAAAGCAATCAGTTTATTTAAGACATACTGAGTTTGAGATGTATGAAGACATTCAGATAGTTGGAAATATGGAACTGTAATTCAGGAGAGAGGTCTGAATTTTGAATAAAAGTTTATAGGCATATGTGAATGGAAAATGTGTAGTGAGAAGTACCGACCCAAAAGCTTGCATCTAAGGGTTATTTATTACCACATTCTTTAGTACTAGAAAATTAAAATCTGTTAACTTGTTTAGGGGCCTGCGTTTTAGCTTATGCCTAGAATCCCAGCACTTGGGGAGGACGTAGTGGGCAGTTGCTTGAACCCAGGAGTTCAAGACCACCCTGGACAACATAGTGAGCCCCCTCCCCCCCATCTCTACAAATAAAAATACAAAAATTAGCCAGGCATGGTGGTGCATACCTGTAGTCCCAGCTACTTGGGAAGCTGAGGCAGGAAAATTACTCTAGCCCAGGATGTTGATGCTGCAGTAAGCTGAGATCACACCACTGTACTCCAGCCTGGGTGACAGAGTAAAACCCTGTCTCAAACAAACAAATAAGTAAGTAAGTACATACATACATACATACATACATACATACATAGAAACAACTAACTAACTTGCTTAGGGGAAGGTTAATCTAGTAATGACATTCATTCATTCATTCATTCATTCAACCTCCACCTCCCAGGTTCAAGTGATTCTCTTGCCTCAGCCTCCTGAGTAGCTGGGATTAAAGGCACCTGCTACATGCCTGGCTATTTTTTGTATTTTTAGTAGAGATGGGATTTCACCATGTTGGCCAGCCATGCTGGTCTCGAACTCCTGACCTCAAGTGATTCCCTCACCTTGGCCTCCCAAAGTGCTAGGATTACAGGTGTGAGCTGCTGCACCTGGCCATGACTTTTATTTTTATATGTAGCAATATTTAATATTTTTAAGGATACAAGAAAGTATTTATAAATTTTAATTATTAATTTATTTGTAGGAAATGTGCACTGTTGAAGAACCCAATGAAGAGTTTACATCTAGACATAGTTTAGAATGGAAGTTTCTGTTTCTAGATCACAGGTAATTTCATTTTTAAATTCCATAAAAGGTAATAGTCACGTTATATAATTCTTGAAATTAATAGATTTCAAGGGCAAACTTTTTTTTAAAATTTGAACTTTGAAACCTTTTTGGAAAAACAAAGCCCCCCCTCCAAATATGATTCTAGTTGGAATATTTCTTATTAGGGAAAGACTTATAATAATGATTGTTTTCTGTGTAATTTAGGGCACCACCCATAATAGGATATTTGCCATTTGAAGTTCTAGGAACATCAGGCTATGATTACTATCATGTGGATGACCTAGAAAATTTGGCAAAATGTCATGAGCACTGTAAGTAGATTTTAATGTTTCTGGTGATAATAACTGTTTTTAAATCACGTAAAGAGAAGTCCTGTCCTGAAATGATAAGTGGTAAGACACAGATTTACAATCATTTTCATATTTTTGAAACGTGCTACAAGATTTTGCTTTATGTGTATAACCAATCTAGTAGGAATCGTACCTCAAGTTTAAATTAAACTTGTTCCTATTTTAGTTTTTAATAAGTAGAATTTCATAATATGGCATCTAATACACCTTGTTCTGAAGCATGTAAGCTCTATATCTGGAGTAAGAGAAGTATATTCCTTTGAAAATTGTAATACATCAAACTTCGGAAATATTGTGTCATAAACTTTGATTTCCAAGCATGTGAATCTTTTCAGGAGCTAGCTACATCTTTGGAAAACTGTCTTAGAAAGCTCATAGTAAATGCTTAGTGTTACCTGCTTATTATTATTGTTGTTAGAGCATGAGCATTGTCATCCTTTGTGTCAGGCACTGTTCTAAACACTTTACATCTAATCTTCATGAGTAAGCTGAGAACACAGTAAAGCTAAGTAATTCACCCATAATTTCATAGCTCATTGGTGGCAGAGAAGCACTAGAGTCTAGGCCTACTCTTTTATCACATGTATTTATTCTTTATTTTGGAAGTTTGTTTTAATCATGAGGTTTGTTTTAATGATAGGTTTTATTTGCTTCTCTGATCCTCCTCCGAGATGCTTACACTCTTGAATGTACACTAAGGCTTAACTAGATATTTTAGACACTTTCCTGATGTTTTATGCTGCTTTCATAAACCCCTCTGTATGAAAATGAATTCTATTGTATAATAGCATTAACTCTATGGAAAATGTTCAGAGTCAAGTCATTTCAGCACAAGAGATGTGGGCATTAAGCACCATGATGTTGTGTAAAGACTTGATACTTCTGTTAACTAGCTGGATAACTTTGGATAGCAAGTTTGTTTGTAGACCTTGATTTCCTCCTTAGAGAGTGAGACAGGAGAGAGAGAGAGAGACAGACAGATGAGAAAGAGAGAGGAGAGGGAGAGATCTGATTGTTTGAGAGATTCCTGATGGGCATTTCCTAAGGTTTGTTCCAGCTAATGTTGGTCCTTACAAAAACACTTTATAGTCAAGAAAGACAGGGAAACACTTCATAATCCCTTAGAGAATCTGCACATACATTAGCGTTCTCTAGGTTTTGAGAAAACTGAAGACGCTAATTTAACAAAAAGTTTCCCAAATTAATTTAACTACAAACCCTTTTGTTTTTTTGAGATGGAGTCTCCCTTTGTCACCGAGGCTGGTGTGCAGTGGCGCGATCTCGACTCACTGCAACCTCCGCCTCCCAAATTCAAGCAGTTCTCTTGCCTCAGCCTCCTTAGTAGCTGGGATTACAGGCGTGTGCCACCACACCCGGCTAATTTTTGTATTTTTAGTAGAGATAGGATTTCACTATGTCAGCCAGGGTGGTCTCAAACTCTTGACCTCAACTGATCTACCCACCTCAACTTCCCAAAGTACTGAGATTACAGGGGTGAGCCACCATACCCGGCCCAAAACCCATTTTTTTGCTTAATATCTGTTAAAAGACTTTAGAACTTAAAATCTACAGCACATGTTTTGGCAGTTACTGCACTCAGTTACTTCAAACAATGAAGTTATTTTGATTTTGGTTAGTTAAGGTTTAAAAATAAATGCTTCAAAGATTCTGCGCCTGCCAGAGTAGCTAGGAGAAAAAACTCAGGTGTGATTACTTATTGTTATTACCCTCTGTATATCTATTGGGAAGAAGTCAGCAATATGAATTCTTAAGTGTTTGGAAGTTAATTGTGTATGGAAAGATTATAAAATCAGAAGTGGCTGGCTATAAGTTGGGCACTGTGGAAGATCTGATCGTTGCTTGGGACCTGAAACTGGATCTAAAGAATTAACATTTTCATATTGACATATGTCATCAAAAAGCCAGAAAAACAATAGTGTATGTAGACTTAAATGCATATGATAACTTTTGGTTAAAAAACAGATTATTTAATATGAATTAAAGAAAAAATATTTTTCTCTTTTCTTTTTAGTAATGCAATATGGGAAAGGCAAATCATGTTATTATAGATTCCTGACTAAAGGGCAACAGTGGATTTGGCTTCAAACTCATTATTATATCACTTATCATCAGTGGAATTCAAGGCCAGAGTTTATTGTTTGTACTCACACTGTAGTAAGGTAATAATTCTTTTAAAGAGTTTCTGTATTGTAACATTCTATGACAGTTTTGGCAATTTAAGTTTTATGTGTAACTTGTTAAGGAACTACAAAGTGCTCTTTTCTCAATTTCTAGTACATCCTTTCAATATATTATTACATTTGCTTGTAAGCATTATATATAAATATAGGAATGATACAGATATATAAGGCTTGATATAAATTTTGTGCTTTACAGCAGAAGTTGTTAGTGTCATTTATGTAGCAGTGTCAGCCATGTAAAAAGAAAACTGTTGGTAGATAAGCATGTACTTTATTTAGTTTCTCTTAAGTATTGTGTGGTTATGGATCATTTACAGCAGTCATGAAACTATAAGATACCTAGAAAAATACAAATTAAGACATTACAGGTATATTTAGGTTTGTGTAGCATATAGCAAATAGTCTAGATGAAGAGATGAATAGTTACACCTGTGCAGTATTTTAAATGAATGACCAAACTCTTTTTTTCTGTTTGTAGTTATGCAGAAGTTAGGGCTGAAAGACGACGAGAACTTGGCATTGAAGAGTCTCTTCCTGAGGCAGCTGCTGACAAAGTATGTTTCTTATCATTTTTTAAAAATTATTTTTAATTTCTCCCCAATGAAAGATAAAACTCAGTAATTAATAGTTAAAATTATTTTTCAAACACTTTATTTCCTCACTTATAAGAGGGATGTGATTGCACTTTACTGCTTATTTTTAATTTAATGTTTTAAAATCTCACCTGCCTCTAAAAAGAAAATCGGATGAGAGACATATCTGATCTCAGATTAAAACTACCATATATTAATTCCCAATGATGTACTAGGCTCTGGCCAGGTTATTTATATGAATTATGAAATGTAATTTACACTTCAGATATTTTTATCTGGTAGGTAATAACCCCACTGTGAAAATACTGAAATTGAGGTTTCAAGAGAGGGAAAAAAATCTCCCCTAAAGACACTGGCTGGGAAACTATAGTCATAATTTGAACTCTGGTTTCTTTTTTGTTGTATCAGGTCAGAAGTGTAGTGTATTAGTTATCTGTAGCTGTGTAACAACTTACTCCAAAACTTAATGATATAAACAGCACACTTACTATCTCCTAGTTTGGTGAGTCAGGAATCTAGGCACAGTTTAGCTGGATCCTCTGCCTCAGGTTCTGTCATGAGGCTATAATCAAGGTGTTGGTGGGAGCCACAGTTATCTCACAGTTTATCTGAGGTGGAATCTGTTTCCACCACACTTAGTGGTTGCTGGCACACTTCAGTTCTTCATGGGCAGTTGGACTGAGGGCCTTGGTTTCTTGCTGGCTGAAGGCTATCCCCAGTTCCTTTCCAGGTGACCTTTTCCATCAGAGCAAGCATGCAAGATGAGCCAGGGAGAGACACTGCCTGCAAGATGGAAGTCACAGTCTTTTGTAACCTAATCACAGTATTGATATCTCATTGCTTTTGTCTATTCTGTGCATTATAGAAGGAAATCACTAGGTCCAACCTACATTCAAGGTGGGAGGATTATACAAGGGCATGAATAACTGGAGGCAGGAATTGTGAGCCATGTCAGAAATTGCCCATCACAAGTATTTTTGGACCTACAGAAAATAAGTGGAATGAAAAGAGTCAAAAATCTATGTAAAAATTGAGTTTAAATAGGCAGCACCCCAGGGGACAGTATCGTGGATGTTATTCAGTCCCAACAAATGCTATAAAGTACCTTCTGCATGGTTCTAGAGGCTGAGAATACAGCATTGAATAATGCAGACAACTTCCTTACTTTCATGGATCCCACGTGAAAGAACTTTTCCAAAGAGGTTTTGTTTGTTTAGAACAGGATGTAGTAGGTTTTGGTAAAAGACATTATTTTCTGAGAAAAGTTCTTAAAATCTAGGGTTCTTTGATTAGGGGGCCATTATGAAAACTGAAGTAGTACAGAGATGAATTATCCTTCTTTTTTCCTCATGCAAAAATTCCATCCTAGTAAATCCTAAATTAGCTCTATTTCCAAAACACACTCCAGCTATGTCTAATTTCCCACCATATTTACTGCCAGGATCATGATCCACCTGGGGTTTAGGGACAAGGTCCTCCTGAGATATGTTTGAGAAACTTCAGTATGGGTAGTTTTAAAATCATGCATCTTGATGGGATCACCAAGAGGATGGGTGTGTCTTGGAGGACTCCAATATTAAGAGGTGAGGGAGGAAAGGAAGAATCAACCACAGGGAAGGTAATAGTAAGGAATAAAACCAGGAAGTTACTTAGACAAGAGTATCAGGAGTGAATGATCAGCTTTGTCAGATTCAGCTGAAATAAGTTAAATTTTAGATGAGTGTTGAGAACTCAGCATTGACTGTAACATTTAATTCATTGGTGATCAATAAAAACAGATTTTGTGAAGTAGTAGTGTGGGTGAAAGCATGATTAGAGTGGGTTTAAAAGAATTTTCCAGGATGGAGGAATTAGGTATGGTGAGTAGGGAGGAGTTTTGCTATAAAGAGAAGAGAAATGGGACAGTAGTAGGAGGGGAAAGTGGGCTTAAAGGAAGTTTTTGCTGTTTTTTTTTTTTTTGAGAGAAAAAAACAGCATGTTTGTGTACTGATGACAATGAGCTGATGGAGAAACAAACTGGTGATGGGAAAGATTAGTGTCGCTATATGAAACCAGACTCTCTAGCTCCTGGGCTTAAGCCATTCTCTTACCTCAGCCTCCTAGGTAGCTTGGCACTACAGGCATTCACCTGGCTTTCTCCCCTATGTATTCTTCTAAGAGTTAATGTAGTTTTAACTCTTAACGTTTAGGTCTGTGATTCATTTTGAGTTAATTTTTTTTTTATTTTAATTGAGATGGAGTCTTGCTCTTTTGCCCAGGAGTGCAGTGGTGGGTTCTCGACTCACTGCAACCTCTACCTCCTGGATTCAGGGGATTCTCCTGCCTCAGCCACCCAAGTAGCTGGGATCACAGATGCCTGCCACTATGCCTGGCTAATTTTTGTATTTTTAGTAGAGAGACGGTTTCACCATGTTGGTCACGCTGGTCTCGAACTCTTGACCTCAGGTGATCCGCCCACCTCAGCCTCCCAAAGTGCTGGGATTACAGGCATGAGCCACCATGCCTGGCCTTGAGTTAATTTTTGTATATGGTGTAAGAGATTCCAACTTGATTCATTTTCTGTTTCTTTCAATAGAAAATGAAGCCAAAACTTTCTGGCTATAACACATAAATTTTCATTTCTTTACATATATGTGTACACACAGATACTTTTGCCTTGTTATAGATAAAAACGGATTTTTTGTTGTCGTTGTTAACAATATTGGGAATCTGAGATCTCTGAACTGAACCACAAGAAAACATTTATTTTACTGTGTCTCCTTAGAGCCAAGATTCTGGGTCAGATAATCGTATAAACACAGTCAGTCTGAAGGAAGCATTGGAAAGGTTTGATCACAGCCCAACCCCTTCTGCTTCTTCTCGAAGTTCAAGAAAATCATCTCACACAGCAGTCTCAGACCCTTCCTGTGAGTATTCTTGCTTGAAAGCAGACTTTAAAGTAACTAACTAAACTATTTGTTACTTATATCAGCATTTCTCATCTAATACTTCTCTAAAATTATACTTTTTTACATTTCTAAAATGTAGTAACCTTTCCAGTGAGTTATAGGCACATTGCTCACTTGTAGCAAAGAATTAAGTTCTTCAAGTAGCCTCTTAAAATGCATAGATGGTAATGGTAGTGGTGGTGTTTTAATCATCCCTCAAAAAGCAAGGCAACTATTTATTGTGTTTTCTACTGTAGGGCCAGTAAGTGTTCCTTAGGTTTGCTTTTTGAAAGTTTTTTTTAGTGTCTTTATGATGACTTATATAATTGTCATTAAATTAGTAACTTTTTAAAGTTTTCCTATTTGAAATATTTTCTTTGTGCTCATAAAAAGATAGAAGTAACCATATTGACTCATCTGACATGGACTTTACTTTCATTGAATGGTTTGGAAAGATAATTCAAAAGCCATTTTTATAAACTGAAATACATTTTGAGATAAATCTATAAAAACCATATTTTATAAAGTACGAATGCTCTTGATTTTGTTGACTGATTTCAGCAACACCAACCAAGATCCCGACAGATACGAGCACTCCACCCAGGCAGCATTTACCAGCTCATGAGAAGATGATGCAAAGAAGGTCATCATTTAGTAGTCAGGTAAGTTCTTTAGTAGATATTCTTCTGAATAAAGACTTATTAAGAGAGGAGAAATGATCTAAATCTTTAGAAATTCATTGATTTGTTACCCCTCTTTATGAAGATCAAAATAGTACTGATAACGTGACACTCAAGACTTCCTTTTTTTGTATGAAGTGGTTGTCATATGTATCAGTCTTTTTATTTTTCAAGTAAAATGTTATTTTTTTTTTAATTGTGAAAAGCTCATAATTGATAGCTGTTTTATGTCTAAGTTCAAATACCAGTTGTCTCAAGTCTGGCCAATTTTTATTGAGAGCTTATGCAAGGTACTGTAGGAAGTTCCTTGGAAAATAAAATATAAATAGGGAACATGCCTTTCCAGTATAGAAGAACCTAGCTGTATTCAGCTAACAAAAGTATAATCCAAATGGTAAGTTCATTAATACAAATACCATATTGATATTTCTGCTAGAAGTACTCATGTATGGGAATGAGAATCACTTCAGTGTTATTTTTATTTTGCTCTAGTCCATAAATTCCCAGTCTGTTGGTTCATCATTAACACAGCCAGTGATGTCTCAAGCTACAAATTTACCAATTCCACAAGGCATGTCCCAGGTATATTTTGTTTGTTGTTTTAGTTGCATATTTAAAAATGATTTGCTTTTAAGCTGATGTAATTTTTAAAAATCCAGGTTGTTTGCAAGCACCTGTAGCTGCAGCTGCTTGGGAGGCCGAGGTAGGAGGATTGCTTGAGCTCAGGAATTCAATGCCAGCCTGGGCAGTATAGCAAGATAGTGTCTCTTAAAAAAATAAAATACATGCACACACATATATAATTATAGTTACAGAGGCAGTGAATCTTAATTGGGGCTATTTAGGATACTTGGGGACATTTTTTATTTTCATAATGATTGTGGAGTATCACTGGCCCTTAGTGAACATGGTCTAGGTATGCTAAATGTCTTTCAGGATACATAACAGTCTTGCACCACAAAAAATTGTCTGGCTTAATATGCCATAACATTCCCTCATTGAGAAACACTATAGACATAAAGATATTAAAGATGAAATGTAGCCATTCATTTTGTCCTTCCTATGAATATTGGAAGAATTAAGTAACTTTATTTGTATATTCATTTATTCATTCATTCATTCGATATTTATTAGTTTCTGTAACAGGCACTGCAGATACTGATAGTACAAATACAAATATCTATACTAAAACACCAGCACATCTAGAGGGAATGACAGATACCTACCATACCTACAATACCATGTTTATATTGCCTGTGTTGAACGTATATAAGCTGATATGTAAGCACATTGCATGAATCCTTAATGCAACCTGAGGAAGTGAAGGAAAACTTTCTAGGAGAATTGTTTCCTAAGTCCAGAAGGAGGCCTAAATGTGGAAAGTAGCCAAAAAAGGGGGAGTAATTCCAAAAGTGACACTCTTACTTGTAGCCTAACTTCCCAACTTGTAATATATGACTCTGTACTCATTCAGTGCCTCAAACACATTAAAAATACCACAGACCGTCTCTACTAAAAATAGAAAAATTAGCTGGGCATGGTGGCGCATGCCTGTAGTCCCAGCTACTCGGGAGGCTGAGGCAGGAGAATTGCTTGAACCCAGGAGGCGGAGGTTACAGTGAGCCGAAATCACGCCATTGCACTCCAGCCTGAGTAACAAGAGTGAAACTCCGTCTCAAAAAAAAAAATACCACAGAGAAGTAGTATTTTTCTTCAACTTCTTTGCCTTGTTTGGCATTAAATATACCCTAACTTAGCAGTATCTTGATCTTAAGGAATGATCATTAATAGTAGGTTAAAAACAGTATTTTTTAAAAATAGCTCTACATATATAACTATGATAAGAGATACATACTTTCTATGTTACTAGTTCTTTAATCTCAAGATTCTAAAGCATTTCTTAACATGTTATAGGGATATTTTCATGAAATAAAAAATATATACTGTCAAAAATGTTAGCAAGTATTCATATCTCACATTTTATTCACTAATAAAGCCAAATGTTTTGCCTCTTAGTTCTGTGATTTTACTTCCTGTTGTCCTGCCTTCTGTGTTTACTATTTTCTTTTTGTATTTGATAGAAATCCTTTAAGTGATAGCAATATAATGCTTACCCAAAGGAACAAATAACTTTAGTTATAAAAAAATACATTTGTATTACATAAACGTAACTTTATTTTTATTTTTTGAGACAAGGTCTCACCCTGTCACCCAGGCTGGAGTGCAGTGGTGCAATATCAGCTCACTGCAACCTCTGCTTGCTGGGCTCAGGTGATCCTCCTGCCTCAGCCTCCCAAGTAGCTAGGACTACAGGTGCACGCCACCAAACCTGGCTAATTTTTATATTTTTAGTGGAGACAGCGTTTTGCCATGTTGATCAGGCTGGTGTCAAACTCCTGGACTCAACCATTCTACCCGCCTCAGGCTCCCAAAGTCCTGGGATTACAGCTGTGAACAGCCATGCCCGCCATAAATATAACATTTTGACTAGTACAAAAAAATAAAGCCTTGAGGGAGTTGAGGTACTAAATTTTTAATATTTTCTCAAACCTAGTATAATTTAATATATGTTATGATCTGATTATTGTTAATTTCTGAAGTCAAGAGTTGTCTGCTTTGAAATGTAATGCAGTATCCCAAATACAAACTATTGAAGAGAGAGTTAAAAAGCTTTGGATGGGAAGGACATTTCTCACTTTTACATACAGTTCGCTGTAAGAGGCTACTTTAAGACAGATTTCCAGTAAAGTGAAATTCTGCTCTTATACTATATCATACACTGAAAATTCGTGGGACTAATTAAAGAGCCTGTATAGACTTAAGAGATGAATCACCAAATGTGGCTAAATTATAAGCAGAAGAAAATAGGAGCTGCTCATGACTCAAGTAAAACAGAGAAATAAGTAAGATTGAAAACATAATTTTGTTTTCATTCCTGTATGCATTTATTTACTCATTCGTACTTGTGTAGTCTTTGAAAGTTCATGTTCTGTTAAATGAAAGTTGCCAGGTGGAAGTCCAAAGAAAAAAAAAAAGGTCATGTTCTATATGTGTCTGAGGATAGCTTCCATTGAAGTGAAAATATTATTATTGGTTATCTGTCAGATTTTTATAACTTTGGGTACTTCTACTCATGTACATATAGAGGACATTCTAGGGATGACAGAAATTGATAGGAATTAACTCCAGGTGCAGACTCCTTTTTCCTTTGTTGAGGGGTAAAAATGAAGCTAAGAAGTTAAATAAGGCTGGGCATGGTGGCTTGTAGGAGGACTGTCTGAGCCCAGGAGTTCAACACCAGACTGGGCAACATCATGAGACCCCATCTCTTAAAAAAAAAAAAAAAAATAGCTGGGCATGGTGGGACATGCCTGTAGTCCCAGCCACTTGGGAGGCTGAAGTGGGAGGAATGCTTGAGCCTGGGTGGTTGAGGCTGCAGTGAGCCATGATCATATCACTGCATTCCAGCCTGGGTGACGCTGTCTCCAAAAAAAAAAAAAAAAAAAAAAAAGGTTAAATAATTTTTTCCAGTAATTGGTAACCACAATATGAGCTCAGGTCTCGTAAATCCAGGGTGTGTGTGTATCAGTCCAGATCCAGTGAGAAACCAGAAGCATACCAGAAATTTGAATAGGAATAATATAAAAAAATTATTAACTGGCAACAGGGATTAACTCCTAAAAGAAGTAAAGAAAACTTAAAGAATACAGGAATAAGGCTGGGTATGGTGGCTCATGCCTATATTCTCAGAACTTTGAAAGGCCAAGGTAGGAGGACTGCTTGATCCAGTGAGTTCAAGACCAGCATGGGCAACATAGCAAATCCATATTTCTACAAAAAATATATATATTTAAATTTGTTAGGTGTGGTGATGCATGCTTATAGTCCCAGCCACTGAGGAGGCTGAAATGGGAGTATCTCTTGAACCCAGAAGGTCAAGGCTTGCAGTGAGCCATGATTTGCACAACTGCTCTCCAGCCTGGGTGACAGAGCAAGATGGTGTCTCAAAAAAAAGAATATGTAATTATCAGATGCAGAGAGCAGCCACTTAACTAAGACAGATGGAGAGTACCCAAGGAAGGAACATTCTTAGAAGACTCCCCATAAGCTCCTAACCTCTTCACCTCCTCTTCCCCCATGCCAAGCTGAGATGCAGATCTTCTTGGGGAAGATGTGGCTGTAACAAGTGGATAATGGAGAAGTTCACTGACATGCCACAGATTAGAGCTAGAGAGCTGGAAACCAGGCTGGGGTACTGGTAAAGCTTGCAGGGAAGCTGCCCACTAGGATGTCATTGAGACTTGCTGGAAAGCCGCCAGCTAGGGAGCTAACAAGCCTAACTGGGAAGCTTCCCACTGGTACCCCAACACGAGAGCAAGAAGAAAAAGCACCAGAACCAGGAGTCCAGCACCTTTGTTTGCAGTATCCGTCCAGCACCATCTACTGACATGGATAACTTTGTGCCTGTTGGCAAAGGAGAAATATTTTTAAGGTCCAGGTCCAATATCACAAAGCAGAGCAAAGGTGGGTGGATTAGGAACTAAGAGGCTTAACTGGCATAACATTCTTAACTCATGTTACACTGCTTACTTTTCTCATTGCACAATTATAAGGAGTAAGTAATTCTAAAATATGTTGTTATTTTTCCATATGTGGTACTTCAGTTTCAGTTTTCAGCTCAATTAGGAGCCATGCAGCATTTGAAAGACCAGCTGGAACAACGGACACGCATGATAGAAGCAAATATTCATCGGCAACAAGAAGAACTAAGGAAAATTCAAGAACAACTTCAGATGGTCCATGGTCAGGGGCTCCAGGTAATTGTTATATTTGAATACAAAGCAAGCATCCCATTCATATTTTGGATTTTTGGGAAAATTAACTTTTCTTAATTAAAAGTGAGATGCAAGAGATACATTTTATCAATTCTGTTCAATAAATATTCACTGGTTACCTACTCAGTATGATTATGTGTAAGGATTCAGTCAGGCTGGTGGGAGAAATTTTAGTTATAGAGAATATACACAAACCTTTTTGGAAGGCCTACAAGTTTTCACTTTAGTACTTGGCTGAAGGCAGCCTTGTCCCCTTAGTTAAATAAATTAGCGTAGAAACAAAGGAATATAAGGAGTTTACCTAACTTGTTTACTCATGTGATCCTAAAATTAACCTTTAATCATTCCAGATAGCTCTCTTGATGGGGAGGTCAACCAAAGCTATTACCCACTAATGGTGTTTGCTTTAAGCCTCAGATCCTGGCCTTTAACCACTGCCCTCAAGTGGTGTTAACTCAAAGCCTTTGTCATTTAATGTGTGCTCAATAAAGGCTGGCCAGCCTGTGAGGGCTGGCAGCTGCTGTCTCTTTATAGCACTCTCCTGAAGTGCCTGTGAGTGGCCACAGACAAAAATCTGTGTCTAAGTGAACATTCATCCATCGTTGAGTCAAGGTCTGCAGGACAGACCCCTACAGGTAGTGACCCGGACCATTATGCTTACAGTCTCTAAAGATTATTCATTCCTGAGGGTATTTCTACCAACATCCTTGTTTCTCCAGTCTTTTTTTTTAACCAGTCCACAAATTTTAGTAAGTTTGAATTCGTAATATAAAAATTATATTTTAAATAAAGTTTTAGGTACATCTTGGGTACAGAATTTATAAATCAATCATCAGTAATATTTTTATTAAGATACCAGTTGGTACAATTCAAATTAGTCCTATATGACCAACCAGCAAGACCACTCTAGGAGACTATGACTTTGGTAAAGGGAAACTTGGAGTGAAAACTACTTCTGTCTAAGGTTATAAATTATAAATCCTAAGTGATACAAAGCTGCCAGTCGTCCACAGACTGAGTAGCACTGAGTTATACAATGATTGGAAACATGATAAAATTAAGGTAACTGAAGATTGAATATGAAGCTTCGTGTTTTGTTCACTATTTATTGCTAATTCTTCAAAGTGATTTAATCTTGTTACTTGCTTTTTAAACTTACTTTGTAGCTTGATTTTGCCTTCTTTTTAATGCTCTTATTATTCTTTTCAATCTACAAAGCTTATTTTAACATAATCTTTATTTTTTAAAGATGTTTTTGCAACAGTCAAATCCTGGGTTGAATTTTGGTTCTGTTCAACTTTCTTCTGGAAATTCATCTAACATCCAGCAACTTGCACCTATAAATATGCAAGGCCAGGTTGTTCCTTCTAACCAGATTCAAAGTGGAATGAATACTGGACATATTGGCACAACTCAGCACATGATACAACAACAGACTTTGCAGAGTACATCAACTCAGGTAATTTTACTGAGCACAGCAGGCTATGGAGTGATCAGCACTTGAAATGTACACTCTTGCTGAGACAGAAATCAAACTCTAATGATAAAATATATTTCAAAATTGTAAATATTATATAGAAAGTATAGTATTGAGAGTGATCATTAAATATTTCGTGCAAATTATGTTAGTATCAGCTTTTGTTTTTCACTGCCACCTTCGCCTCCTGGCTTCAGCCTCCCAAGTAGCTGGGATTACAGGTGCCCACCACCACGCCAAGCTAATTTTTGTATTTTTAGTAGAGATGGGGTTTCACCATGTTGGCTAGGCTGGTCTCAAACTCCTGACTTCAGATCATCTGCCTACCTCGGCCTCCCAAAGTGCTGAGATTACAGGCGTGAGCCATCACACCAGGCTGAGCTTTAAAGTATGTCACAGTCTGTTTAAAGCTGTAGTCTAATAGTAACACCAAGTTTTGGAAGTTCTTAGACTTTTTCTGTATGTTAAGGTATGACTTGCAAAAGAGGCAGACCAGAAAGCCTATTCCCATATGTGCAGAATAGACTGTTGCGGGGGTTGGAGGGCAGTAATGGCTTACTGAATATTCCAAAAAATGTTGGTAATTACTGTACATCTGTGAGTATAAATCCCAAGGATTTAAATGAAAAATATAAAATGCCCACTAATTAGTCATTCACTTTGGGCATTTAACAGAAATTTCTTTGTGTATATTTTATATCATCTCTATTACAATCACACTCCTTTCTAAAGTCAAAGCTTGCCTTCAAGCAGATATTTAAGACTAATTAATTCTCAGTTACTACAAGTCATTCCTTTGTGGTTATATTTCTCCCAGAGTAATATATCCTGCCACTTCCTTCTCTGTCATATTGTTAGAATGATGAGTTCTAGCATAATTCCCAAGTAATTATTTTCAGTTCATCTGTCTACAAAATCTCCCTTTTTTTTTTTAACAGAGTCAACAAAATGTCCTAGGTGGGCATAGTCAGCAAACATCTCTACCCAGTCAGACACAGAGCACTCTTACAGCCCCACTGTATAACACTATGGTGATTTCTCAGCCTGCCGCCGGAAGCATGGTCCAGATTCCATCTAGTATGCCACAAAACAGCACCCAGAGTGCTGCCGTAACTACGTTCACTCAGGACAGGCAGATAAGGTAGTTGTCGTATTTCATTTGTTATTTTCAAAATTGTAAACTGATTAGAAAACAATAATTTGATTTTTTAATGTGATTTTAATGTGTTGCTCACTGCAGCCAGTATTCTTAAATTTGGAATAAAAACACAACGTATTCATTGTTAAAAGACTTCATAATTAGAGGATAACAACAAATTTTGTTTCTTGCCCAAAAATATGCTACAAAATATTATAGAATACAAATTCTACAGCACACACTCTTACAAAAGGCTTATGACAGGTTCTGTGTCACTGTGAAGCTTTTGTCTTTTCAATATAGATGCTATGCCATGTAGTAACAATGGTTAGGTCGCTTACCTTTTTTCAGTTTGTTAAATGCTCAAAAAAATACGTTATCTCAAATTCTCATTTATTAAAAGAAAATGTACATAAGGGTCTTCTTTTATTTTCCCAGATAAGAAAAAAGTGGGTTTTTAGTAATTAGCCAATGGGTCTGTATCTAGTTAAGGTGATGAGGGAGGGGATCTGAACACAGACCTTGATGTCTTGATTTCAAAGCTCAAGTGCCTTAAACATATATTACAGGAAGGTTTTGTGGACTGCTTTGGAAAAACAACTATCTGTGACTTAATTTGAGTGTACTGATCACCTGAGGAGTACACATTCTATCCAATATGTAGTTTTTTAATCCCTCACCCCCACCATCCTCCTCCAAAGTCTATTATATCACTCTGTATGCCTTTGCTGTACCCATAGTTTAGCTCCCACTTACAAGTGAGAGTATATGGGATTTGGTTTTCCATTCCTGAGTTACTTCACTTAGAATAATGGCCTCCAGCTCCATCCAAGTTGCTGCAAAATACAGTATTCTTGTTTCGTGGCTGAGTACATGATAGATACATACCACATTTTCTTTCTCCACTGATTGGTTGATGGGCACTTAGGTTGATTCCATATCTTTGGAATTATGAATTGTACGGTGATAAACATATGTACACAGGTGTCTTTTTGATACAATGACTTGTTTTCCTTTGAGTAGATACCCAGTATGGGATTGCTGGATCAAATGGGAGATCTATTTGTAGTCCTTTAAGAAATCTCACATTCCCACCAGCAATGTGTAAATGTTCACTTTTCACCACATCTGTGCCAACATATTTTGATTTTTTAGTAATGGCCAGTCTGGCTGGAATAAGGTGATATTTCATTGTGGTTTTAAGTTGCATTTCCCTGAACATCTGTCTTTTGAGTGGGGACAGAAACTATATCTTAGCAAACATTTGATGGTCTACCTAGATAAGTATGGCATCATTCCTTCCCCAAAGGAAAGACCAGACTAGTAAAAGCTTAAACAAATCAGTATTGTTTGGTGTGATGAATACTTTAGAGGTCTTGAGAAAGGAGGAAGTGAGCAGTTTCATGGGTTGAGGCAAGCAGGTGAATAGTATGGTCAGGAAAGCTTTACACAGGCAGAGATACTTGCCCTGACTCATCAAGAGCTTGGCTTTGGGTGTGGGTGTGGCACAGAATCTAGGGAGGCATTTTGGACAGAGGGAGTTGTGTATACAAAGCTGCAGAAGTGTGAGGCGCAAGCAGATTAAAGAAAATGTTCTTATCACACCAGTGAACCATGGGCTCATACAAGTGTTAATTTCATTTAAGATTAAGAGAAATAGCACTTAGCACTTCTGTGACTAAGTGTACTTTGTAAATATTTTCTTTGGGCTTAATATGGATAATTTTAATTCTTTTTTTGTTTTGCATTAAAGTATTTGGTTGTATAGCATATAAAATACAGTATTTTATTTTCAAGATCTGACATGGATTTGAAATAAAATTATTTCATCTTGTGGAACATAAATAATAAAGTATGTCTCTGTACTAAGTATAATATTGTTATAAACTTTAAACAGTTTGTAAGTGCAGTTATGTCATGCCACATCTATATTAGGGTCATATCTCACTGAAATGGCCAGTGTTATAAACTAACTTCATTTCACAGAAAAGGCAAATGGAAATAATATTGTTTACAAAGAAGCATCATTTTTTTTTTTTGTTATTGTTCTTTCACTTCAAAAAGAAAAAGGAAGCAGGGAAAGAGGGAAAAAATAATGAATTTTAGCCCAGTGGACACTGCTGCATTGATAAATTCATAAATTGAGAGGAGTTTTATTCATTGTTAGAATGTCAAATTCCTAAGATACATTTTTGTGTAAATCTCTTCTATAATCCTAGAGTTTAAAAAATTACATTATGATAGCTTTATATTTATTCATGAACTGTGCCAATGTAGAACATGAATCATGTGTCATATATATCTGATTCCAAGTACCTAGTAATTTTATAAAAAGAAAAATTTTTTATATATTTTTAAAATGTTTTATTGTGGAAAAATATAAATGACATAAAAGTTACCATGTTAACCATTTTAAAGTATACAGTTCATTGTCATTGAGTAGATTCTCATGATTGTTACCATCTCCCCTAACCATCTCCAGAAATTTTTTCATCTTCCTAAACAGAAACTCCATATCCATTATACAAGTTTCCCATTCTCTCTCCAGTGCTTGGCAGCCACCATTCTATTTTCTGTCCCTGTAAATTTGACTACTATAAGTCCCTCATATAAATGGAATCATACAGTATTTGTCCTTTTGTGAATGACTTATTTCACTTAGGATAATGTTCTCAGGGTTCATCCATGTTACGGCAAATTGTCAGAATTTCTTTCCTTTTCAAGGCTAGGCCATGTTCCACTCTACTGTGTTTTGCTTATTAATTCTGTCAATGGAGTCTTGGGTTACTTCCACTTTTTGGCTTTTGTGAATAACACTGCTTATGGTTATGGGTGTACAAATATCTTTTTGAGTCCCTGCTTTCATGGCGGGGAGGGGAGTGGGTATATAAGCAGAAGTGGAATTCCTTCATATGGTAATTCTGTAGTAACTTTTTTGAGGAACTGCATACTGTTTTTCATAGTGGCTGCACCATTTTTACATTCCCACCAGCACTGCACAAGGGTTTCTCCACTTCCTTACGAACACTGTTCATTTTGTTGTTTGTTTTTTATAATTGCCATCCTGATGGGTATAAAGTAGTGTCTGATGATTTTGATTTGCATTTCTCTGATGATTAGTGATGTTGAACACCTTTTCATGTGCTTATGAGCCATTTGTGTATCTTCTTTGGAAAAATGTTTATTCAGGTTTGACCTTTGCCCATTTTTTTAATTGGGTTGATTGTTGGTGAGTTGAAGGAGCTCTTAGACATTCTGGTTATTAATCCCTTATCAGATAGATGATCTGCAGATATTTTCTCCCATCTGTGGGTTGCCTTATTACTCTGTTGATAGTGCCCTTTGATTCACAAGTTTTTAATCTGATGTAGTCCAGTTTATCTGTTCTTTTGTTGCCTGTACTTTTGGTATCATATCCAAGAAATTATTGCTAAATCCAAAGTCATGAAGCCTCCCCCCTGTGTTTTTTCTAAGAGTTTAATAGCATTAGCTCTTATGTTTTGGTCTTTGGTCCATTTCAAGTTAATTTTTGTCTATGATGTGAGGTAAGGATCTAACTTCATTCTTTTGAATGCGATATCCAAAAACATTTTGTATTTTTGTTATATGTTGATTTTGCTGTATTACTTTTTTTGTTTTACTGTTATACCAAAGGGAATCTTTTAAAATGAAACAAAATAGGCATATACAGACTTTGAAAAACTAAATTGGCATTATAATTGGGTATTATCTTAGAAAAGTATTCACTCCACTGCCTTTTATGATGTATACCTTGTACTTTGGACTCCATTGTTTTCCTTCTTTCTTCTAACAGATTTTCTCAAGGTCAACAACTTGTGACCAAATTAGTGACTGCTCCTGTAGCTTGTGGGGCAGTCATGGTACCTAGTACTATGCTCATGGGCCAGGTGGTGACTGCATATCCTACTTTTGCTACACAACAGCAACAGTCACAGACATTGTCAGTAACACAGCAGCAGCAGCAGCAGCAGCAGCAGCAGAGCTCCCAGGAGCAGCAGCTCACTTCAGTTCAGCAACCATCTCAGGCTCAGCTGACCCAGCCACCGCAACAGTTTTTACAGGTAATTCTTTCCATGGGGAAGCTGCTTCAAACCCATTTACTTTCATGTAATGAAATTAAGCATTAAGTGAACATTTTGTGAGTGATGTGAAAAATTCACAAAAGCTTATTGTACAGTTTAAATCTCTACAAAGATAGAAAGCTCGTCCTGGTCGTGATTTTTTTCTTCCCTAGCTAGTCTTGGGAAGACTTTAGTCCTGCCTTTGGGCATGTGCAATTATCAGAACTGCTGGATAGAGTGAGTGGCCTACTTCCTGCCCACCTGTTTTCTCAGTCTCTGGCTAGAGTTTCTGGAATTTAAGCAAAGGTACCTCTTTTCTCCTCTTTTTTTCTAGCCAACCATAAATTCTTCTCTATACAGAGCAGGGATTTCTTTTTACTAGTATAGGTATCATCTTAAATTATTTTGTTTAATTCAATCTTATTACAAGTTTTCAGTTATAAATTAATATCAGAGGAGAAATACTGTAGAAATATATACATCATAGCTAACAACTTGAGCTGTAAAGTCCAGCTGCTCTTGGGTTGAGTCACTGCTGCACCATGTACTGCATAACCTTTGGCAGGTTGCTTACTCTTGCTAAACATCACCTGTAAAGTGGAGGTCATAATAGTTAATACCTCATGGAACAATAATGTTTGCAAATCACTGAATATAAGAGAAGGCACATAGCTGGCTGTTATTTGTGACCACTATATTGACAAATGTAATAGACATTTGGATTAGCCAAAATATAGACACAGATATGGAGGTAAATCAGACAGGCTCTCCTTATCTATAAGATACAGAAGAAAGTGACTAGGACAGGATTCTCAGCAGAGAAATCAACAAAACCCTTATCTGGACCTCAGGATCTTTACTAGAAATCCAACTTTTCTCCTAAGAGCAATTTTGAATGGAGGCTAACCTGGATGTGTACTAGAGACCACTTCATCTAGGCCAGGCACATACCATCAATTTAAGTTATACAACATGTGATGTGATTTTTGTACTCTGTATTCAGGCATAAATACAGTCTTAACTTGTCACCCTTTGTGTCCTGGTCGAAATATAATCCTTGTCTTTGTGATGTGGAAAACTGAAACAGGCTAGTTTCCTAATTATCTGAGAGTCCTAACAGTCTCTTAGACCCTAAGCCTGTGCTGCAGACATAACTGGAGTAGCTACTATTAACAAATAAAGTCATAACAAGAATTTAAAACAAGTTCTGAATTGTTATGTAGGGAAAATATATCCAATGAGAATTAAGCAAAAGCTTAAAAAAGGAGAGGACTTGCCTTAACGTCTCAGTATTCTAAGTTTGTCAAGGAACAAAGACCCTTAAAAGAATCAACATTCTCGGCCGGTTGCGGTGGCTCACACCTGTAAATCCCAGCATTTTGGGATGCCGAGGCGGGCGGATCACCTGAGGTTGGGAGTTTGAGACCAGCCTGACCAACATGGTGAAACTCAGTCTCTACTAAAAACACAAAAATTTAGCCTGGCATGGTGGCATGCGCCTGAAATCCCAGCTACTCAGGAGGTTCAGGCAGGAGAATCACTTGAACCTGGGAGGCAGAGGTTGTGGTGAGCCAAGATCATTCCATTGCACTCCAGCCTGTGCAACAAGAGCAAAACTTAATCTCAAAAAAAAAAAATAATAATAATAATGAACATTCTCAGAAAATAAATAAATAAAATGGCATCCCAAAGACATAGGACCCACAAAGAAAAAAGACCAGCAACAGCCCTCATAAATGCACTTGTATGTGGGTAGTGAACACTTTGGCTTTTGTAAATCGTGTAATACCTAGTTCCAAAGCATGCCCCTGTTATAATCTTATAAGGCTCATAAGCATACTGAAGTCTTTGCCTTATACAGCTTTTCCTAATAACAGAGAGAGAACACTCTGTCCTTGACAAAGTGTAGTAGTCTTTAAGGGTTGTCAAGGATTTGTTCTTGTGTGTGTGTGATTTTGCATGTTTCTTTCATATACATTTGCAGAAATCGCCCACCACAGATCAATTTTGAAGTTAAGAACCCTGCATCAAGTTGTACTCTCAGTAATGGGGAGGGACTTTCACTATAAAAATTTACTTGTTTTCCACTGCATTTTTGTATCCACGAGTTATAAGGACAGTATGTCAGAAGTAAAAATTTAGTGAAAGGAACTGAGGCTCATATATTTGAGTCTTGCCCAAAGTCACACGCTTACTTAATGTAAATGGCAGAGCAAAACTCAAATGCAGGGCTTCTGCCTGCAAACCCTGTGCCTTTTGTCATTTTGTTTTGTTTTTCTTTATACCACACTGCCTCTTATGAGACCTATGGCTCCAAATTTGCCTTCATATTTATGGTGCTTTTAAATAATATTAATATTTAATCTTTATTAAGAACTCAATGTGGTAGGCACTGTTAATCCTATTTTGTAAAGAAAGAAACTGAGGCCCAGAGAAGTAAACAGCTTGACCAGGTCACACATGTGGTAAGTAGGGCAGCCCAAGTTTGAACCATTCAGTCTACCTCTGGGCCCACGCTCCTGGCCACTTAACTGTGTGATGCTCTTGCCAGCTGAGCAAACCTGTGTGCAGAAGGCATTGTCTATTTGGCCTCAGAGTATTTGTTTTTCATATAGTCATAACTATACTAAAATTTTATAATTTAAAATATGGGTCTCTAGGACAGAAAATGAAAGAACATGTGATTTGGCTCAAGATACAGATTGCTAAAATGAAAGAACATGTGATTTGGCTCAAGATACAGATTGCTAGAATACCATAAAATCTGCAGCTTGGATCCCTTTAAAAAATGAAACTCTCTCATACCCTCATAAGCATTTTCCAAAGTATAATTTTTAAACCAGAGAGCAAAAATGATATGCATTATGTAGAATTTTAAGGATTTTATCCCTATGGACAGGATAGAGTGTGAGTAAATCTTATGTGGGTGGCATAAAGGGAGTAAAGCAATGCTGCATAATGCATTTGTTTTTTAGACTTCTAGGTTGCTCCATGGGAATCCCTCAACTCAGCTCATCCTCTCTGCTGCATTTCCTCTACAACAGAGCACCTTCCCTCAGTCACATCACCAGCAACATCAGTCTCAGCAACAGCAGCAACTCAGCCGGCACAGGACTGACAGCTTGCCCGACCCTTCCAAGGTTCAACCACAGTAGCACGTGCTTCCTCTCTGACATCAAGGGAGGAAAGGGATGGCCCATTAAGAATTACTCAAATGACCTGAGGAAAAAGAGGAAAAGTTCCAGCAGTTTCATGAGATGCAGTATTGAGTGTTCTAGTTCCTGGAATTAGTTGGCAGAGAAATGCTGCCTAGTGCTACAGATGTACATTAAATACCAGCCAGCAGGAGGTAATCATAGGGGCATAGCCAATTCTGACACTGTTTTAGTTGCCTGGATTTTTTTTGATGGAAAAAGAATATATTGCCAAATGTTAAGCTCAGCTATGAAATGACCTCCAGTGAATCAGAAAGGCACTAATAATGTTAGTAACTTTTAGTGGTTCTGTGCCTCTTATCAAATGTTAGAGAGGACATACCACTGCCATGTCAGGGGTTTGCTTACAATGATGCCATGAAGACAGTCCAGTAGACTTGGTAGCTACCCCCTCCCCCTTTTCAGATAATGATGGAACAGTAATTACTTTCAGAATGTTGTATAGGTAAATTCTCTATGTACAGATGATGTAAAAATATGTGTATGTCTGGATAAAAGGAGAGAAAGCAAAACATTTTGTATGCTGCATGAAAGTGTTATCTCTTCCTTACAGGTATGAGCACCTTTCCTGAGATTCTGACACCATGTGCAAACTGATCCATCCTCTGTTTTTCCTTTTGTTTACAACACAGTAGTGTTCTATTCACTTTTCCGGGGCACAAGTTTTTTTGTTCATACTTTGGCTGTGATGTCACAGTTTGTTCAGTGAGGTATGATGTGCTGCTGGGAATGGATTTTTTTTTTCAGGTTAAATTATTGATACAACAGGATTTTCAAGTTATTCAGAAATATCCCTCATTTCATTATTTTTCAATTATGTTTGAAAATAGGATTTGCACTGCTTTATTTTAGGTGGTTGGGAGTCTTGATTGCATATTTTGATATAGTTCATAGTTGGAAATATTTGTGTAAATGGTTTTCAACAAGCCTGAAAGTAATTTCAAGAATGTTTCAGTTATAGAGGTAAAATTTGCACACAAAACATCTTAGGCACTTTTTAACATTCTCAATCATGGGAATTTTAACTTTTGGGATTTGTTGAAATCTTTTTTATTATCCTTCACAATTTCAATGCTTCTTTTAGTCAGAAATGATTCAGGGTTATTTGAGGGGAAAACACCCCATAGTGCCTTGATTTTAATTCAGGTGATAACTCACCATCTTGAACTCATTGTCTGGTTTCTGTAGCAGTTTTGAAACCTTAGTACATTTTTAACAGCATGTGGGTGTCAGTGTCATTATTATTCTCCTAGTAAGTTCCTTTGAAGACTGCTATCAGTCTCTTGGACTGGAGGTACAAATAATTTAGAAATAAAAGATGACAACCTAACACTATCAATAGTTATTAATGTGATCTTAAAATTGTTTCCTAAATCAGCATTTTTCTTTAAAGTTAAATAGTCATTTAAGAATTGCCGGTAAATATTTGCTCAGTATGATCTTGATATTCCTACAAAGAAAAAAGAAGGGGTAGATTTGGCTATGCTTTCACTACCACACTAGAATATTGTAACTCACATGCCTTCTAAACGTGAACTAAGATTTCCTTTGGCAATATCATATTCTAAAAGTAATAAATTCTAATACCAGTTACATACATTTTAAAAAGCATTTTATAGATTTTATGGTTCTAATAAAATTTATAGTGATAGAACAAAAAATTAGTAGAAAATACCTTATTAGAATATAAAAAGTTATTACTGAGGAAAGGAAGGACAAGTGTAATAAATCAAAATTGATCTCAAAAGAAAATGTGTAACAGAGTTGAGGTTGTTCAACAGAAAAGGTTCTGAATAATGAAAATAATCTAATGCAGAATTGCTAGGTAAAGAGGTCAGGGGAACACAAAGCCAGTTCGCAAGACTTCTCTGTCCTCTGCTGTTATCCTTAAGGCATACACTTTGTCTTTCTGCAAAAAATTCTACCTGGCCACAATTAATTTGAACATTAATGTTGAAAAAGAAAACAAAGAAAATTGCTACTTACCCTTCTACAAAAGAAGTGTGAATAGATACCAATTAGTAATCAACATATCAAGGAGCTCTTCTAGCTAATTGACCATCCAATAGAGATTTCCGACATTCCCATGAATATCAAGAATAGTTGTCAGAAAATGTATATACGTGACCATATGCACATATAGACAAGGTGGATGTTGTAGGATATGGCAATAGGGTTGTTTCTCTCCCCTTTCAAATTGCCTTTCTTAACCTTAAGCCATTCCATATATATCTGAGTTGTGCCTCATTTGTTAATTGGCAATACCTAGTGATAGGGATTTAGCTAACAAAAGATATTAAAAACAATTATATTAAGGCCTATCCTCTACATATTGTACTTAAAAAAACTGTGAGTACTACATAGTTAGGTTGGCAGCAGCAAAGCATAAGTAAGACAAGCCCCAGGTAAACATAGAAACTGTTTACTCACATTGTCCTACTCCAGCCCCTTCAAGTATTTCCCATCTCCACAAATAGTTGGGCGGGGGGGATTACATTTTTCCTTTATAATTCTTATTGCTCTTCATAGCTCATCTTTTTTACTGCTTGGAATTAACCATTGCTAATTTAAAGGAGCAGCTAGCTGCTTTTCTGTCAGTCTGAAATGGTGGAAAGCAGCCTCTTAAATGCTGTTTGTTTTCCTCCTTCTTCTCTTAAATTTGGGTTGCAAAGCTATCCCACCCACCCCCCACCTCACGAAACTTGAGCATTCAAGTGAAGATTCAGCAGTGTCTGTTCTTCATTCATGTCTATAGCCAAAGCTGTAAGTTAAAATCCATAATCTGTGATTTAAAGATACCAAATAGAAACACCTTCCAGCTTCTTTAAAAAAAATCTTCCCTCTGTGTTACTCTCAGATATTCATTTTTCTTAAAAACATTGATTCTGGGTGGTACTTTTTAGGTAAGAAACCATTGAGGCTCATGAAAAATGCTAGCTACTCTGCAGTTACCATGCTTTGGACTTGGAGTTATCATGGTACTGGAGTCAGTATTGCTTAACAAATGTGAGAAGAACCCAGACACTTGAAAAGTATCCATTTTTTGAATGGAACATATTGGAGGAACAAGTGTGGGAGATGCAGGTAGCATGTTGAGTAAATAGTGTGGTCTGGCCTCCGAGCATCCCAAATTTTGGGGGTAACTTGAGAGTGCTGTGCTCTCCTTTGTCATTTGTATCTGGCTTAGGAATGTATTAGTAATAAAAAGATGCCAGTGATTTTGAATAGTTCGTTATGGAATATTCAGTGCAGAATAGTGAAAATGTTTGGATTCTTCAGGAGTGCTATAGTTGTTGGTCATTGCCTTAAAGCAGTCTGCTTGACGTTAGGAGCACTGCTGCAGCAGTCCAGCTCTATCAAGAGCACTTTGTTTAAGGGAGAAGAAGCCTTGTTCAAGAAGCCTTAGAAAGGGATCCTTATAAAATAGTAAGTACTCTGCGCAGACAAGTGAAAATTCTTTTAAACTGGGTATTACTCAACATGTTTTAAAATGTTTCCACTATATTGAGGCAATCTTTTTAAAAGTGGAATGCAAATAGCATTTTACTTTAGTATTTCTTTTTTCTGTTTCTTTGGTAATAGAAAGTTTGTTGAAGAATATTTGTGTAAAACTCATTCAAGTCTATAACCTTTCCAATTACCTGTGGCCCTGTCTGAATCCCACAGGAGTCCCTGTTGGAAGGGGTTAACACTGGATATTAATGTTGCTGAGTGAATATTGCCAGGAGTAAGCTGATTGGGATTTTTGAATGGTAGAGAAGAAACAGCACAAGGCACTTGCCATTTTAAGTGTTTGGAGAGAGAGAACCTTTTAAGTTTGGATTGGGTGAGCATTCTTCTAAAAGGAGCTTCTGAAGTAATTGCAAAGGAATAGAATCGACTATTTTTATAGTATATTTAATATATTTGTATATAACTGAGTATAATAGGAACCCTCTACATGCCTCCCACTTTTCTAATTTACTTCCCCTTTTGCCATAGCACTAGTATAGCCTCATCCGCATGGGTAATGTGCCTATCGTCAGCCTACCAAAAGATAGTGCTGCTGCTTTATGAGACAGGTGAGAAGATCCAACTCTCATGCCTGGGGATCCTTTACAAAAAGAATAGCACACACCTTTAAAACAAACATACCACAGTCTAAAAGCATCATTTTGAAATATAACAAGCACTTTATTCCAATTACTCATTTTGATAAAGTTCTTAGGCGTTAACCATTTCTAAAGGATCCCCAAATCATCACTTAGGTGAAATTATATAAAATGACACATTTCTGAGAAATGTTTAGATCCGGTGAACCGTAGTTGGTTTATGGGAGTGATTTCAAGACAGCCAAATGAACTTTGACTTTTGTTTTGAATGTGGTGGAGTCAGGAGATTGTAGATGCCTAGTTTGATTTAAACACTATTGTAAACCTATCTTGCCTATTGTGTGGACACCAAAAGAGACCAATGAGCCTGTTTAATTTTCAGAGGTCTAGGAAAATTGCATCCGTGTGAGTAGATGTACAGAACTAATCTAAAAGTGACTGCTAGTAATATTTTAGAATAATTTCAAGAATTATTCTGAGTGTTTTAAATGTGCCCTGAAATGTTAGCATGTCATTTCAGCATTTCCATTTGAATTGCTCTTGTACTATTTTTGCACAAAAAGGACTGAGAAAAAGACTACTTGGTCAAGGGAAAAAAAGAGTATAATTTGATTTTTAATTTTAATGTCTCCTGTGGAAACACTGGGGATGAATTTTGTTGGTACAGTTATTCAGGATATTTAAAACAGTGTTGAACAGTTCACAAGAAATTAAACAAACTTGGATTTTAAAAATTAAAATACTTTCTTTCCATGTGACTGTTTTGCATAGTTTTCCCCTATGTCATAACACTACATTCCTTTTTTTTCTTAAATAAAATACTTCACAGGTTTTGTTGTGAGTGTTCAGCAGTATTTTATAAGCTGCTTGGGTTTCCTCAGGGAAACATTATTTAGTGGAATAGGATATAATTTATGGAGACTATTATGTGAAATTCCATCACCACCACCAGCAAACACTGAGGTGCTGCATTAAGTGACAATCAAACTAGTAAGTATTTATGAAGGAATTTAGAAAGGGGTTCAAAGAAGTATTTGCTTTGAAAGCAGTTCTCTGGGGTTCTTGAATAAAAATGGCTAAATGTATTTATTTATATTTTAAAATGTGTGTTGTTTTCTCATCAAAGTGATTTCAGTGTCATGTATTTAATTTGTGGTTCGTTTTGTTTTTCACCATAATCTACTTAGAGAACTGAGTCTGATTTGAGGTACAGTAAGTCACTAGCCCTCATGATAATCTTTTTGGACAGTTTGAATCTGCTTTACTTCAGGACAGCAGTGGAGGGCCCAACTCCAGATGCCCCTGCACTTCCCTCCTGTCTTGAAGTCATGTAAGAAATAAATTTAAAAATACTCCTTTTAAATCTGCTTCATATGGTTCCAACCTTTTTCTAGTTTCACTTGCTGCCTTCTCTGTTTTATGGGCACTTTTTGTATGATTACTTCCCCAACACAGCCAAAGGCCAGTATGATGGACACACAGTCCCTCTATTTTGCCCATTTGGGAAAACATTAGTAAAAGAAATAGCATCTTTAAATGGCTGTCATTATTATATCCATATTAAAATCCATTTAAAGTTCTTAAAGTTGGTGGAATAATGTATACAGACTGAAAACTGCTACAAAAAATGTTTGTTGTCTTTAATATAGTGTCATGTTGCTTGGTCCTTGGAAAACAAAATAAAATTTTCATACGCAGCACTGCCAGATAAAGCAGTGCTGGAATATTGGAAGCCTAGACATTTTGAGGATCCTTCTTACTCACATGCATTGGAACAGAATCCTCCACTTTAGGACTCAGAGAAGCTATGGAGCCCCACAGGCCAGGTACAGCACACAACGTAGAGAATGGTAATTAAAGCACGTCAACCACAATTGAATTTAATGATCTAAAAAATATTTCTTAACTCTGAGGGTTAAACTGAAAATAGTGTTTTCAAATAAATGCTTTTAAATTTCTTAGAAAACAAACTGTGACATCGCTTTTAAAAGTGACATTCAGGTGTTTATAATGTGTGTTTTTGAGTTGGCTTGGACTAGTACAAGTTCACTTCTGGCAATGATTGTGCCAGTGCTAAAAAGTTAAAGTAAGTGGTTACCTTCAGATTGATGTCTTGTATAACCAATCATCTTCAAGCAAAAAAACTGGCCAGGAAATGTCTTTTTTTTAAAAAAAAAGATATGTCAGCCAGAGCAACTATCGTTTAGACCATTCTAGAATGATTTTGAAATCTTTACTATGGTATAAGTTGGGGAAGGCCTCAGTATGGCACTTTCATATTCACTCTATGTAAAGATTGAAGCCCAAAGATGAGTTAAATTCAGTGCTGTATTATTGAAACCAGTCAGTGCAAAAAAACACAAAAACTTTTATCTTTGTAAACTTTTCATTGTTAACCTCAGTTGGTAGTTGTAAAAAACATGCACCAAAATCTTTATAATGTTCTGTGTGGTTCTCAATGTGATATTCTTGACATTGCTGTCCTTACTGCTTGGTTCTTGGTTTTAAATTAAAAAGTAGATGTAGCCCATCATTTCTACTTCCAAAACGGTGGAGCTAAAAATGGCTAATTGATCTTGAAAGAATAACTTTTACTTAGAAAAACATTTAATTGAAATCCAAACTGATTTACAGAGATTGAAACGGACATTTTCCAGGTGTTGTCTTCTGCCAGAATTCTAAATTGCATAGACACATGAGGGATATTGAATGGTTTCAACGGTGCTATATTAGGTTCTCTGATTTTCATGACCTATGTATGTTTGGAAATACAGTATTGTATAAAATATGTGGATTGTTTTGTTACCGATTTAATATTGCCACTTTAATTTGGTGTAACAATTGGTTACACTTGTTTTTCAAAGCAATCCTTTGAGGAGAAAGTCAAAATGTGTCGTTAGCCTACCTCCACTCAGGCCTCTTGCTGTGTAATCATTATTCCAGGTTATGATGTGCATAGCTTTTAAAACTGCGTGTACTATATTATTCTGCTCTTTCCCATACTCTTGTCATGTATTCAGAACCTAAAATTATAGCAGAAGAGCCAAGCAGTAGCAGTTTTTTTTGTAAATTTAAAAATAATTAGATCCAGACTTTGTTTCCTTCTTCAATTTTAAAAATAAAAAATACCTCAGTGCTGTGTTTTTCAGTATCACCTGCATTTCTCAAAAAATAACACCTGCTTCATGTGGCACATTACTTGTAAGAATCACATTTTGGATTTTAAAGAAAGACTATTAAATATTTTAAGATCACTATCAATGACATTTCCCTTTCTTTTATTCAACAATGGAGCCTAATTGCAGTAGCAATTTTTACCTTGTAGCCCTAGGTCTGACACTGAATTCTGAGAGGAATTACGTTCTGCTACAAGATTGTGGTATGAAGCCAGTTATTGCTGTTATTCACATATGAAGCCAGTACTGGGACCAAGCTACCTGAACTGAGATTAGGCTTTGATGGTACCAGCTACTCTTGACAAGGACTGTCTCTTCTGTTTTTAGAAAAATTGTATTAGTGAGAATTCCTCATTCCTTATAATAATCTAAGGCAACATAGGGGTGTCTAACCACAGAGTTTATCTTAATCCACAGACATGTTTTCTACCCTACGATACACACTTCTTATAGCAGAGAACTCTGAAATTTACAAATATGACTTTTTTGATCAACACGTGCTACTTCTAACTTGCCATTTAAAAGCTACTTTTTAGCGGAGGACCTCTCTTAGATCTTTTCACAGTAGTAGCTATCTACCTACCTCACAGTTACCATGTAGGACAACTGTCGCGTGCTACAGTGCTGGGTGATGAACTGGGTTCTTTCACAGTCTCTTCCAATTGCAAACTACTATACATTGTCAGACCTTTGAAGTAGCTCATAAACCTGATTTGCTCTGGGTCTTTTATTATACGTCACACAAAAAACATGGAAGTTCCTGTAGAAATTGTCCTGCAGTTTAGAGAGGCTATTAATGGGAGTGCTACTGCATATGATTCTAGAATATAAAAGGCTGAGGGAAAGCAGCTGTTACGCTACTTGGGTGGAGAAGCAGTCAAGTCAGAACATACTCAAATGACAGTGACGACTGAGGTTGCTATGAAAATATGAGGTAGTCTTAGCATAATGAATCGATGTCAGGCTCTGGAATTAAACTGCCTGGTGTGACTCTACCATATAACCTTGGGTGAGTTACTTTTTTCTTTTTTAACCTTATATTAGTACCTACTACCTCACAGAACTGTAAGGGTGACAACAATGCCTGGCTCCTGTTTAGCTACTTTAGGCATATCTCAAATATTTATCAGTGTTTTTACATCAGCTTTAGAAATTGGTCTATCAATACTCATATATATAACACACAAGGAAAAATAAGCACTAGTCATACCACTTTTATTTATATTGTATCTATGTTACATTGTTTATTCAATAATAGAAAAAATATGAATACATTCATAGTATTCTCTTTTAATTGGGTAATTCCACATTGTCAAATATTGACTGTTTTTATATTGGGTGTCCTACCCAATTAAAAAAAAAAAGGTAGAATGACCTGGCAGACAGTTTTTGTTGTACCATGTTATTGATATAACAGTAATATTATATATGTCTCTCATTTTTTAAAAAAAGCAACCAAATTTTGAAAAGACGGATGATTAAACTACTGCTTACTGGCTCAGGGAAATGTTTTAAAAAATAGAAATTCGTTCTTTCCCCCAAGAAAAATGTTAAAACATTTAAGTCATCAAGGAGGAAATGTGCATTCCTTAAAAAGGGGTCAGTGCTGAAAGAAAAATCACACGGCAGACCCCACTGCACAACGGCTCTGCACCAAAACAGAAATGGGGACCATAGTAACAATTATGCTGGAGAGAAGAAAAACCCACACTGAGAAGTCAGGTTTCTTTTAAAACTCCTTGTTACAAATAGAATCAATGATTATATCTCAAGACACAATATTTTCATTAAATGGGTCTAACTCACAAATCAGTGCTACAAAATACAGTATTTTTCCATCACTTTTAGTTGTAATGTACACTATGTACAGAAAGATAACATTACCTATTTTAAACTAAATACAGATGAACAAATAGCTTGTTAAAAACCAGAATCAGGGCTTATAAATAATGCAGAAAATGCAAACGCCAAAAACACGATGCCTCCTATGATTGTCACTGGAAGAGAGAAGAAAAAAAGTCAAATACCACCAAATTCCTATAACTTGATGCTGTACAAAATGAAAAGGGAGCCGATGAGGCGGCCAGTTATTCTTCCAATCTAGTAAACTAACCTTGAAAACAAGCTAGAATCACTTCAAACCCATTTACATAGCAAGGAACTACATTTAAGAATCAGGGTTTTCTCCAGCACTGTTTTGAGAAATAATAGGATTGTATTAGATCCAGAGAGCTAACGAGCTACGGCAGAACTAACTCATTTTTAAATCCAGTTATAAAAAGATCCAGTTATAAAAGAAAATGTTCAAGAGACAATTCTTCCATCTCTAGACCTAACTGTAGCTTCACAGGACATTTTCAGCAGAATCAGTAAATATGGTCTCCACATAGGATTCCAGCTTCTAAGACACATTTTTAAAGCCAAAAATTTCTCATACTTCCACATGACAGTTGTTTTACTAAGATAATACGTTGACAAGAAGCTACTTTGAATTCAATAAAGATGACGTTGTATTTTGCTAACTTCTACAAAGTTAGTAGTTATATTTCCTAACTTGTACATTGCATAGATGGTGAAAAAGTCCACATATGCAATGCCAGGAGTAATACCTCTAAGAGATAGATGGTAGGTAATTACAAAGACCAAATATACTTCAGAAGCAGAAATATAAATCATGAAAGCTTATACCCTTTAATCTCTCAGTGATTCTAAAATGTTAAATGGTATTTGATTTGTAATTTTAAAGACTTACCAGTTCTGACAGAGATTTTCTGTGCTATCATTCTTCCTCCAATTACTGCCAGTCCCGTGCACAGGGAGTGCCCCACAGTTCCACCCACGGCTACACCATAGGGGTCCTGGAAGCAAGCATCACAGCATTAATTCAAAACCAAGGCGACAACCGCTGCTTGAGAACCGTAACGGTACAGAAGCACTAAAAATGGAGGCCAACAATTAAAAAGCATAGTTATAAAAATTCAGGTGTATAATAAATTTATGAAAGGTATAACAGCCGCTTGAAGGAATATGTACATAAGACTAGACCTACAAATTGAAATAATCCTGATGAAATAAAGCTAACCGAACTGTTCGGTATGTATTAAACTTCCTTCACAGGCAATACGTAGCACTGCTGCGACTGACAAGTGCTAGGGAGGACTGTAAGCTAGACGCCTGTTCCTCAGGTACTGTTTGGTACTAGGAGAAAACTCAGTTACACCTTTGCAGAACAGCATGCCTCTGCTTCCTGCGAACAGAAACCCTGCCTCAGAGCCAGGAACAAAGGAGTTATCCAGTAAACAAATGCCAACTGAGCAAAGCAGGCACTCAGATTCGGGGAGAGGGGGTATATGGTCAAAGTTTCCCAGAAAAGATAGCCCTGAAGAATGAGCAGTGGGTAGTGGGAATGTGATCTTGTTTGGTGGGAGAAGGAACATGCTAAGTAGAAAGCAAAAGCCAGCAGTACCAGACAACCAGCTAGCTGCAGGGCACTTGGGCAGTTCACAAAAGGAGGTCATGAAGGTAGGTGGGAGCCCAGGTTAGGGAGGACGCTATCAACTTGGAGTTTAGACTGTCCTCAGACACTTGTTAGTTTTTAGCTGTAAAGTGACAACAGATTTATGCTTTAAAAGTCCAGTGGGGCAGTGCAGTGGCTCATGCCTGTAATCCCAACATTTTGGGAGGTTGAGGCAGGGGGACTGCTTGAGCCTTGGAGTTTGAGACCAGCCTAGGCAACATAGTGAGACCTCATTCTCTACAAACAAAATTTTAAAAATTAGCCGGGAATCCTAGCAAGCACAAGTTGGTCCCAGCTGCTAAGGAGACTGAGGTGGGAGAATCACTTGAGCCCAGTAGGTTGTGGCTGCAGTGAGCTGTGATTGCTTTCCAGAGTGGGTAACAAAGCAAGATCCTATCTCAAAAAAAAAATTTTTTTTTTAAAGATGGGATTTCACCAAATTGGTCAGGCTGGTCTTGAACTCCCGACCTCAGGTGATCCGCCCGCCTTGGCCTCCAAAGTGCTTGGATTACAGGTGTGAGCCACCATGCCTGGCCCCAAAATTTCTTAAAGGTCTAGTGGAGAGAAAGAACTGGAAGGGAACTAGAATGAAGGAGGGATATCCACTGGGATGCTATTGCAACAGCCCTGGAAGAAACAGCCTTGGCCTGGATCAGAGTGGATGACCTAGGCAGAGAAGAGCAGGTGAATTTGAGAGAAATTAAGAAAGCAAAATTAACATACCTCCATGATAGATGAGTAATAGGCTTTATGAAAAAAATATCAGAGCCAATCCTAGTAGAGCCAGCCACTCAGGAGGCTAAGGCAGAAGGATTGCTTGAGGCCTGTCAAGACTAGCCTGAGCAATACAGCAAGATCCTGTCTCTTAAAAAATAAAATAATGGTGCAGTGGTTTGTGCATGTAGTTCCAGCTTTTCAGGAGGCTGAGGTGAGAGGATCGCTTCAGCTAGAGTTCAAAGCTGGCTGGGCGCGGTGGCTCATGCCTGTAATCCCAACACTTTGGATTGAGACCATCCTGGCCAACATGGTGAAACGCTGTCTCTACTAAAAATACAAAAAATTAGCTGGACGTGGTGGCACATGCCTGTAAAACCAGTTACTTGGGAAGCTGAGACAGGAGAATCGCTTGAACCCTGGAGGCAGAGGTTGCGGTGACCCAAGAATGCGCCATTGCACTCCAGCCTGGGCAACAAGAGCGAAACTCTGTCTCAAAAAAAAAAAAAAAAAAAAAAAAAAAGAGTTCAAAGCTGCAGTGAGCTATGATCACACTACTGCACCACAGACTCCATCCTGGGTGACAAAGCAAGACTCCATCTCTTACTTAAAAAAAAAGAAAAAAATCAAGCATGACACCCAAGTTTCTCCCCCACAATTCTTTGGATGAATTATGGTAAGACCAATGTGACTTTTAAAGTTAAGAGTCAGTTGGATGTAGGTGAGCATGGTGGCTCACATCTGTAATCCCAGCACTCTGGGAGGCCAAGGCAGGCAGATCACTTGAGGTCAGGAATTTGAGACCAGCCTGGCCAACAGAAACACCATCTTTACTAAAAATACAAAAACTAGCC